TGGTATAGGGTTTTCAAAGAGAGATGAGGGAACGCCGTCAATCCTGAGCCAGTAGTAAAGTGCATTTTGAGGGCATATTGCTGAAAGCTTTCCTTATTCTGAGAAGGCACACTGGAACAACCACGTTTTCAGGCTCCTCCTTAAAGACTGCCAGAGTTGGGGCATGCCTGATGTCCTGGGTTTTCATACAGGCAACGGTTCGATGCCTTAAAGCACAATGTACACTTAATAAATAAATATTAAAATAGAATTAAAAAGCAAATTTAAAAAATTATATACACATGTATATAGACACACACACACAAATATAATATGTTCATTTGTGGGATTAACCTAACTCAAAAACCACTGGATGAATTGACACCAAATTTGGACACAAGACACCTATCAGCCCAATGAGTGACCATCACTCATAAAAACACAGCAGAAGAGACTTAAAAGCCTAAAAACAAAAATTACATTACAACGCATGTCCAAAACCACATATATACACAAACACACACATATATACACACACACATATACACATATACATACAAACACCAAACACATATACACAGACTGGGCCACAGCAACACATGGCAAAGGACAGCTAGTATATATATATATACACACACACATATAGTCAACCCCCGAGTTACAAACTTCCGACTTACAATTCCTAGTTAAAAACAGGGCAAAACAACAGGAGGAAGACCATTTTGGGTGTGTGTGTGTGTGTGTGTGTGTGTGTGTGTGTGTATATATATATATATATATATATGTATATATATATATATATATAAAATGTATATCCCGCTTTATCTCTCCATACAGAGATTCAAAGTGGCTCACAATCAAAAACATTACAACTTAAAATATACAATAATAAAACATATAATATAATAATAAAACTTTATTTATAGACCGCCCTCTTCTCTCCAAGGAGACTCAAGGCGGTTTAAACACACACACACACACACACAAAAGGCAAACATTCAATGCACAAACAATTTTCAATCAACAGGATAAAATTTATTTATTCAAAACATTTATATTCTGCCCTTCTCACCCCACAGGGGACTCAAGAGCACAGCATATATACGGCCATCATTCCATGCCTGGACATAAACCTATAAATATACTAAAACATTAAAATCACTTATATCTACTTTAAAATTGGCTGTTTAAAACCATCTCAAGAGATCGTGCTGGCTTCCGTCAGCGGAGTAGGTTTCCTATTATTGCCTCATTGCACTGCCCCAAAGGCTTGGTCCCATAGCCAGGTGTTTACCATCTTTCTGAAGGACAGGAGGGAGGAGGCTGATCTAGTCTCACCAGAAAAGGAGTTCCATAGCCAGGGGGCAATCGCTGAGAAGGCCCTGTCTCATCCCTGCTAAACACACATGTGACGGTGGCAGGACCAATAGCAGGGCCTCCCCAGAAGAGGAGGTGTTATTTATGGTGTTATTTGTGGTGTTATTTATATCATATATAATATATTAGTATTATTATTAAATTACAATTTTCTTGTTTCTATATATTTTTATTTTATATATATTGAGGGGCTCCCGAGTGATGTTGCAGGAGACACGATTGAGCTGTGACTTCCTGGCTGCCCCCTCTTCACTCTCTCTATGTATAGACAAGCACACACATATACATAATATATATGAGCTTGTATATGTCCAAGTTTGGTACATGTCCATCGTGGGGGGGGGGGGTCACAGTGGTCTGTGAAAGTGGTTGTAAGTTCTACAAAGTCCAGCATACATGGCCCACCCTCCCCCAAACCTTACCAAGACCTAAAGTGGATCATGGGCAGTCTGTATGCCAAGTTTGTTCCATATCCATGGCTGATGAGGTTTGCAGTAGTCTCTGGGTATGGGTGAAGATACTGCAACTTCCATTGTCCGTGGTCCATCTACTTCGAACCACAATGTAACCCCCACCCATGTGGAATCTTTTCCCCGAAAACTAACTAGGGCATAAAGTGAGTCTTGGGCCAAGTTTAGTGCCAAGTTTAGTCCAGATCCATGGCTCATGGGGTTCGCAGTACTCTCTGGATGTGGGTCAAGGTACTGCAACTCCCATCATCCAGGGCCCTCCCCCCCCCCCATCAGAACCCTAAGGGGGTTATGGGTTAATGTAACTCCTGTTGTTGGTGGGAGTTACAGTGCTGTTTGAAAGTTGGGGCATCTTGGAAAATACAAACATACAAACATTGACTTTTGTTGCTATGTAGAGATGCACACACACAAGCTCTCTCTCTACACGCACACACATATCTACACACACACAAACTTAATACAGACACATACAAGCTCTCTCTATATACACATATACATACATACAAGATTAATAAATATAAGCAGTCCCTGAGTTACAGACATCCAATTTACAAATGACTCATAATTAAGACCAGGACTGAGACAACAGGAGGTAAGAGAAATCTGCCCCTCGGAAGGGAAATCCCCTCCTGGAAGAGTTATCATGGGGAAAAGGAGTCTGAAGAGCTTTATTTTAAATCCTTGCTTCCACAACAAGCCAAAAATTTCAAAATCCTGTCAATTTTGATTATTACCCACCATGCTAACAGGATAATTGGAATGGCAACTCAAAAGCAGTTGTGGCTCTTACGATGAGGAAAGGTTAAAGGACATTTTAAAGCCAGATGCCACATTTACAAGTCTTACATCACACTGGCAACGAAGATCCACATAGTTCAAGCAGTGGTATTCCTATGGTAGTAATACCATAGTCACCTGTGGTAACCTGTGGATGCGAGAGCCGGACCATAAGGAAGGCTGAGCAAAGGAAGATGGAAGCTTTTGAACTGTGGTGTTGGAGGAAAATTCTGAGAGTGCCTTGGATCACAAGAAGTTCAAACCAATCTATACTCCAAGAAATGATGCTCAACTGCTCACTGGAGGGAAGGGTATTAGCGGCAAAGATGAAGTACTTTGGCCACATAATGAAAAGACAGAAAAGCTTGGAGAAGATAATGAGGCTGGGAAAAATGGAAGGAAAAAGGAAGAGGGGTCAACCAAGGATGAGATGAACGGATGTTATCCTTGAAGTGATTGTCTTGATCTTGAAGGAACTGCGGGTAGCCACAGCCGATAGGGAACTCTACTGTGGGCTGGTCCAGGATGTCACGAAGAGTTGGAAGTGACTGAACAACAAAAATAGCATTACTAAGAAAAGCTTAAATTTAATAAGCGAGGCTATTCTCAAACACAGCAGTAGATGATCACACCAGATTGCTACTGGAGTTTTGTTTATTTGTGATAAAACAAATGCAGCCAGCCCTCCACATTCATTGGGGTTAAAGGCACAAGACCCCTAGAAAAATTCATGTCCTGAGAGATCGGCTGTCTAGGAATTTCTATGTCCTCCAACATGGCTTCTGCTGGAAACAGACGATGGAATCATGCTGGAGATTTCTGGAGAGGTCTTGGGTTAAAAGAAATACCTTTCCTGGGGAAGTTGACCATTGAGTTGCACTGAAGAAACTAGAGATGCTCACATAGAATACTTCAATCAAATTTGTGACTAATCATATCCACAAAAGTCAAATGTGCAAATGTGGAGCGCCAGCTGTAGAAAAAGTCACTTATTTAAAGGTGAAAACTTTAGCACAAGTTTTGAATGTTAAGGGATGGTGGCATACAGTTGCCAAATTTAATGCAGCTATAATGCTGTTCGTTTGATGGGGAGCCAGAAAGAAGTTGACCTGGGAGCCAAGCACTTAGAGTTGTTACTGCTTCTTATCTTCTTCATGTTTCAACCTGAGTATTGCTTCTGGATTCCAGAGAAACAAAGCCTGATGGGCCTGGTCTGTGGTGGTCAAGAGAAAGTTGCATCATTACTTGTAAACCAATGGGCCTTTCCATTCCTTTACTTTAAGGCTCCTAAACAGCTGAATAAAATCCCACATTTTCCGCTTTTAACTGGAATACATGGTAGTGTGGATTCAGATAACCCAGCTCAAGGCAGATATGGGATTTTCTGCCTCAATAGTCTGGGTTTTATGGCTGTGTGGAAGGGCCCTAAGGCATGATAAGCTTTGTTTTTATAGAAATCGTAATTTAGTCCTATTTTCATAGAATCAAAAGAGTTGGAAGAGACCTCATGGGCCATCCAGTCCAACCCCCTGCCAAGAAGCAGGAATATTGCATTCAAATCACCCCTGACAGATGGCCATCCAGCCTCTGTTTAAAAGCTTCCAAAGAAGGAAGCCTTCTTTTGGAGACATTGCAATGATAAATTGCAAAACGTTTTAAAGACTCTTAATACCTTTTCCAGTTTGTTGCAGAATCATTATTAAATAGCATTGGGGGAGGGCAGTGGTACTTTGCGACTTTCCCAATTATATTTCTGAAGTATCAAATGTATTTTTCAAAACAGAAATATTTTATTTTCCAACTGCAGGGAGAATGATGAAACTGGAAAGGATGAGACTTCACATGTGAAATCCAAGTATTCTTCCAAACCGAAGGCAATCCCATCTCTTGGACACAGGAATAGGTTCCATCCCTATGCAAAGGAGAAGAGTTCAGGCAGTGGTGAAAAGAAAACCATTAACCGTAACAGAGTATTCATTAGCAACATCCCATATGAAATGAAATGGCAATCTATTAAAGATCTTATGAGAGAGAAAGGTAACTCACTCCTTACAGCCTGCTTCACAAAGGAATGGGACAAACACAAATGCCGGGAGTACTATAACTCATACAAATTTGGTTTGTCCCTTTCAACTTCTGTTTGATATGTCCACCTTTCCCCTCTCTTTCACTGGAGACACTTGCGTTGTAGGATGGTATGGGAAAAGAAATTATGTATCCACAGTCTTCTTCCATTTTAGTATGATAGCAGATAGCTTAGAGAATAAACATGCCCCCATGAACTTTTAAAGGGACTGTGCTACGTCTAGTTGTAGTTTGAATATACGCTACACCTAGTGTGCTTTTTAAAAGTATGAATCACAAAGGATGTCTTTCAAAAGATGTTTCTGTATTTTTCTTGGTGGAATCTGGCTGTGGAAATATTTCTGTCTGCATTGTCATTTCTGCCATTACTTGTTTGTCTGGAGCTCTATTTTAAGCGCTTTACTACTGTTGTAGTTTTGACAGAATTATTTGAATGCCCCAAATACCATGCCATGGGCAGGTTGGGCAGGAGAAATCCCAATTTATAAACTGTCAAAAGTTAGTTTGTATTAACTTGGGAAAATGACTGCATCAAAATCACGCAAATATATTTGGTTTCTAGGTCTTTTAAAAATGAAAACGTTCTTTTAACTGCAAGGTGTATCTGTTGTAAGGTGACGTGACTATACGATTGGGTTTACGCAACGAAACTTTACTTTAGAAAGTGTGTGGCTTGTGAAATTCTTTGACTCTTGTAAATTGGTTATTCTACTGAAGGCAACCTCTACTATTTTGAAGCTATTCAGGTAGACAGTCACCTTAAAACAGCTGTTGTGAGCAGGATGACAAATGTCATTGAAAAGTGCTATTGTTGATGTCCTATGTGATAGGTGAAGGGACTATTGAATATCTGAACTTGTTCACCAACTATATCATACTGGCCAAAATATGATTTGTAGTATGAATTAGGTTAAATATAGTTGTTCTTTAGCTTTTGAGAATGTGGCTGTTGCATATTCCTGAAAATTAGCTAAATTTTATAGTCCTTGACAGGAGGTATGTTGGTCTGGTTTTGATTGTTGGTGAATAATAGGTGCTGCTTCGTAGAGTTGTGCACAGGGACACAGCAAAGCAAGACACTGGTGTTTAAATGCATTGTCTCTTGGTATTTTCCCTTTGTATGTCTTATGTAGTTGGTGAGGTTACATACGTGGAGCTGTTTAAGGATGCAGAAGGCAAATCAAGGGTAAGTGCCATGGGCAATCATCTGCTTGAGGTTTAATGTTCCTCAGCAGTTTTACTTTTGTATAATGCTTGTACCAGTATTTGGAAAGTAAGTTTCATTTTTTTCCATTGATGTCATTACAGACTGAGGTTTCTGTACCAGATACAAGTGTGTCAACTTTTATATAAATGAGTGTTGCTGGATGCAAGGGGAACGCCCTTTAATATGTACTTTAAATAAATGGCATTTACCTAATTCATTTAAAACAGCACCTTACCTTCGGTTTTCTGTTGTGTTCAGATGTGCTTAAGTTGAGGATTGGAAAACAATCACTGCAAAGATACATTTTGCTGGGATTAAAGTTGTAGAACTACTTCTGGATTATTGAATTGTCTATTTTTTTTTAAAAAAAAATGGAATGGAAGGACTTGGTTGGTAGGTAGTGGATGCCAGCAATGAGAGAGGCAGTCCAGTGCAAAGAATGTTAAAGCTGCTTTGTGTCTTTCTTCTTAAAAAGGTCAAACGTTCAAACTATAGTAAGTCTGAGCCTGCTGTGTGAACATGAGAAATGCAGGTTTGACTCAAACGTAAGCAATAAAACCTGTTGGGTGTCCAATTTTTTTCTTTAAGATTTTTATTTACATGCTATTTTTGTTCAGACAATGGGGAAAATTAAAAAATAGGATTAAGATTGTTTTATTTCTGTTAAAGAATTACATGCGTTTTTAAATCACACTGTTCCTTTTTAAATTTGTAAACTAGTGAAGGTATCTACAACAGCTAAACAATGTAATTGCAGTCCAGTTTATGGAAATCATATGCAATTTACTTCAAGGTAATCACCCAATAATATTCTAATATATCCAGTTCTACTTTCCCACCCACTTTAGTTGTTTATGGCATCTGTGTGTCATTTTCATAGCCAACTTCCGTTTTAGTTCAAGAAAAACAAAGTGGAAGGATTTTGAATTAAATACATGCACAGAAAACCAAATTTCTACCTTCTTTATTTTTAAAACTAACTCTAAATTAAGCTTATACTTCACATGATAAGTGGTAGCATTCATTGCTACCTGAGTGCTGTTCTTCCCCCTTCCGAACTTCTGTCCTTTGTTCCCAATGTCTTATTTTTTGTTCTGTTTGTCTAAAATCTTACAATATTTTGATGCAACAACTGCACTTATTGATTCAGTCTTATTTATTTTTCCCTACGCCTACATTGACAACCCTTCATCTGAATTCAGGGCTGTGGGTAAGTAGTTTCTACCATAGTGTTTCAGAATGTATTTAGATAGCACATTCAAAAACCCCTGAAGAAACCAGCTTTTTATTCTTTTTCACCAGTGTGGTTGAATTCAGAGATGAAGAATTTGTCAAGAAGGCAATGGACACTATGAATAAATATGACCTTAACGGAAGACCACTGAATATAAAAGAGGTAAGTTGGTCATGCAAATAATGGGGGGGGGGGGGGGGGGTTTGCAAATGAGAAAAAAATGTTATGGAGCTATTAACTCCCTTCAAAGATAATTTACACAATAATAATACTGTTACTTTCCAAAATAAGCAGTTATATCAGTAGTGTCTTTTCTCTTTTGAGAAGATGAATTCTTTTTCCTTGTTATTCACAAATTTAAAATTGATTACTTATATAAACAGCAGACTTGGTAATATTGCCCAGGTTTCTGTATAATCAAAACTTCAGGTAAAAGTTCTGAAGTGACAAGGGGTTGGTTAGGATGGAGATAAAGGCTCAATTAATTTTATTTGAGAATTAAATATGACTTAACTACCTGCAAGGTTATATCTGTAATTGTGCAAATAGCTATTTTAAGTCCTGGGGAACTTGCTCTGTTACTCTGATCTGTACTCTGGCTGCCTAGGGAGAGCTGTATCCACAATGTCATGTGTGTATATATTGTCTGATGGTTCAGTCGCAAGTTTCTATCTTCTGCAAATATTTTAAACATTTAACACCACAAATTGAATCTAGTTTCTTGGAACAATATGTTAGGCTGATAGATTTCTACTTGTCCATAGACTAGGTAACAGCATGTGATGTTGAAAGGGCAAACTCTCAATCCTCATCCAAAAGGGCCACCTCTAAAGTTGGTCCCTGGGTACAGGGAGCACACAACACCCTTGTTACACCAGCTCTACTGGCTGCCTATCAGCTTCTGAGCACAATTCAAAGTGCTGGCTTTGGACTATAAAGCCCTTAACGTTTCTGACCCAGTTTACTTGTCTACGATCCACCTAGAGCCCTAAGTTCATCTGAGGAGACCCTGCTCATTGTCCCCCCATTGTCACAAGCGGGGACAAGGGACAGGGCCTTTTCTGTGTTGCCCCCCCCCCCAAGCTATGGAACTCCCTCCCGAGTGAAATTAGATCTGCTGCATCCCTCTTGACCTTCTGTAAACAAGTAAAATCCTGGCTACGGGATGAGGCCTTTGGAGAATAGGCTGATGTACTGACGTGTTAACTTATTTAGAACTGATGGACTGCCCTTGGATAATGATTCAAGTCGGTGACCGCTGACTATTTGTTGTCTGTTTTATATTGGTTTTATTGTTTATACGGTTTTATATTGTTTATACTGTTTTATATTATTATTACGTTGCTATTAATAGTATATTTATGTTTTGATGTGGGCGCCATGGGGTGCCCCTTGGTTAGCCGCCCTGAGTCCCTCTGTGGAGGTTGAGAAAGGACGGGATATAAAAGCCCTAAATAAATAAATAAAGGTGAGGGAAGCTAGATCTCGGTGCACATGAAGTTCTTATGCCTTCTGCTGCCACTGATCAGCACGTTAACTGGTCTGTTTGGGAATTTCAAAAAGGTGTTGCAGCATAGATGGCGTCTGATTTGGGAGAAACAGCTGCACATTCTCTTATTAAATGTGTTGCAGGATCCAGATGGGGAGCACGCCCGTAGGGCCTTGCAGCGTGGGAGTGGAAGCTTCTCAGGAGGACATGGCCCAGATGTAGCACCTGGCTTGATGAATTTGCCACCTTCTATTATCAATAATCCAAACATTCCCCCTGAAATTATCAGCAATCTGCAAGCTGGTAGACTTGGGTCCACCATTTTCGTTGCCAATGTAAGTAAAAAGATGCACTGGGTGCACATGTTCTTATTGTAACAACATGTTTTATTAGCATGGTAAAAAAAGGTTCTCTGAGCCTGGAAGAACTGCACGCTTTCATCGTGTTGCATTTGTATTACATGGTGGTTTCATCTATCTAATCTGGAGTATGTCCTATTTCCAATGTTTTTGTACCTGTTTCTATGTAGTTCTTGAAAACCTTTGTACTAAAGCTCCTCTGAGCTGCTTAACTACATGAGCAGATTTATGTGTCATTGTTAACTAATGTAAGATAAGTAGTCAACATATCCTTTTTGTATCTTCTTCCATAACTAGAGAATATTGAATTGTGTGCCAAGTAATACAAGTTTATTTTTATCAATATTAACTGTGGAAATCAAGTTGTTTTCCATTAGAACAATATGTTGGAATATAAAATATATGAAATTTAAGATTTAAGGGCATCTTAGACACTTGTATTTCAGTTTGGAATGCCTGATGTGTCTGTATATATAATTGAATGTTTGATACAGGTGGCATCTGGACCCATACTAAAATCTCTTTTAGAAACTTTGCCTCTTAGTGAAGCAGAACTGTGTTGGTCTGTCTCCTTCAAGGCTTTGTCTCTTCTTTTTAAGCTTGACTTTAAAGTTGGTTGGAAGAAATTAAAGGAGGTGTTCATGATTGCTGGAACTGTAAAACGTGCCGACATTAAAGAAGACAAGGATGGCAAAAGTCGAGGGATGGGAACAGTGACCTTTGAACAGCCAATCGAGGCTGTTCAGGCAATATGTATCCTGACAGAATTGAAGTGTTTTATCAAATGTGGGTGAAAAATGGGATTATTCAAAGGATTTTTGTATGCCACCAGCTGCTTTGACTTATGTGTTTGCTTGAATGTAGGTGAATTTTGCAACAAAAGTACCATAATGGTTAATTCTTCTATGTGCAAAATATTTGGTACTGTGCATATTTTACTTGATACAATTTACACAAGCCAGCAATTACTTTTTGTAATCATCAGAAATGAGAGTAGCACAGTCTAAATAATTTTATGCCGATTTTAAATATGCCCTTTTCCCATCACATCAATTTTTAAAAATATGTCAAACGGTACATTAAAGCGGACTACTGTAAAGTCTGAATATTTCACATCGTATTTGTGTAACACAAGCCAACAAGCATTTTTCATCATATGTAATTTTAGATCATCCTTACAGTTTTGTGCACTAAATTCAGATCTGTGTTTATTTTTTCTCTATCATGTGTAGTTTTTGCGATGAGACTAATCAAACAATTAATGTATTTACTTACCAATAGCAATATAATTAATTAACCACAAGCCAACAAGTATTTTTCATCAGATATGATTTTAGGCCATTCTTACAGAGTTTTTTTGTGCTGAATTCAGATCTGTGTTTATTTTTTTCCTATCACGTGTAGTTTTTGCGATGAGGCTAATTGAATAATTAATGCATTTACCCACTGATATCAATTTCATTCTATTGATATCAGTGTGTATTAATAAAATATTTTATAATTTATAGAAATGCAGTAATCATTTGATTAGCCTCATCACAAAAACTACATGTATCCTTTTTTTTAAACAAAGGAGGGTATTGGGATTGTAGATGTGATTCTTAGCAGATAAAAACAGCTTTCTAGCTGCTTGATGAATTACAAATATTTATGGCATTTTCTGGAACATTGGTAGTCAGTGTGAAGGGAGAAATTGACAATAAATTTGGCAAGGAGAAAATTTACTCTTTAACAGGATAAGATGCTGTACTTGTTTGGAGTCTTACCTAAAATACTACTACTCTGCCATCTAAACTTAAAAGTTTATGGCTTTGAAGAATGGTATCTTTTCTCTTGGGGGAATCATTATGCAAATACATTGGCAGGTGGTCTTGTTAAACCACATACATGTTTTTAAAGACGTACTTGATGTTCAGTGAAATTGCTTACATTTTAAATGAAATTGCAGAATTCTTCAATGTGATCAAAGTATAGTTCATATTGGGGTGGTGGTGGTATTTTATTCAAGGTGTCTGGTTTAGCACTTCCCATTTATGGAAAATAAGCCCCTTGACTTCACACTCAGCAATGTTCAATGGACAGTTCCTGTTCGATAGACCAATGCATGTTAAAATGGTGAGTTGTCATTTATCATTATTATTAATCATTAATATATGGCATTGAATTCTTGCCTTTGTAAGGCTGCCCTGAGTCCCCTTTGGGGTTGACAAGGGCGGGATATAATGTGGTAAATAAATAATAAATAAAATTTACTTTTGTCAATGAGGGCTCAAACAAACTATAGTGTTCTGAACCCCATTTTCTTGTTTTTAGGATGACAAATCGGTTCCTCATGACGATTTCCGTGTAGCAGATAGCAAAACACCACAGTTGCCCCGTAAGTGTGAACTTTTTTTTTTTGGTTTCTGAAACTCTTTTTTTTTTTTGTAAGGGTTGCCTCAACCCCCAAAACCTTATGGAGACAATTTTGCTTTTAAAGGTGGTCTTGGTGGCATTGGAATGGGACTTGGACCTGGTGGGCAGCCCATAAGTGCAACCCAGCTGAGCATGGGAGGAGGAGGAATGGGGAGCGTGGCTCCAGGAGGTCAGTATACTTTTTACATAGTGCTTTGCCTTTGGGTAGGGGACACAATCTCAGAAGTTTAATCTCCCTTTGAATGTGTTGTGGTTCACAACACACAACCACAGGGGGGATTGGGATGTGTGTGTGAGAGAGATACATCTGGAAGCAAAGATACTTCTAACTTTTCAAAACAGCCTCTTTAGTGTTGTTGTCCCATTAGTATTAGTATATCTCTTGAAAAGTTCCCCTGGTGCCTAAGATGTTATTTGTTTGTAATTTTTTGTTGTTGTTTTTATAACAAGAGAGAGAGAGCAAGGGCACACCATCCAAGTTTTTGGAGTCGATGGGGATGTGAGGGAGGGCCTTCTTGATGGTTTCCCCATGGCTCTTGAACTCATTTCCCAGTGAGGAATTGTGGGAGTTGAAATCCAAAACACCTGGAGGGCCAAGGTTTGCCCATGCCTGGGCTAGGGCTTGCTTCAGAGCAATGGTTCTCAATCTGTGGGTCCTCAGGTGTTTTGGATTTCAACTCCCACAATTCCTAACAGCCTGCCTGAATAATAAGGTCTGGGAAATGGGTTCAAGGAAAATAACACCTTAGGCACTTTTCTCTTAGTATTTAGAGAAATAGAGGATATAATGAACATTAAAATAGAAAGAAGTCCTAGTATAACTTTATTATCAATATATAATAATAAACAATTGAAAAAAAGAGGCTAAAGATGCGATAACAAACTTATTAACAATAGCAAGACTGCTTATAGCAAGGAATTGGAAAAGAGAAATAAATATACAAATAGAGGAGTGGTACAAGGAAATATGAAAATTGGCAATAAATGATAAGCTGACATGTATATTAAAAGTTAAAAGAAGTATGTGGAAACAAAGTGATTTTGATGAAACATGGAGAAAATTTATTGAAAAAGGATTTTAAAAGGAAGAAGGAAAGTTACCTCCACAAGAAGAATTTAAATTTTGGACAAATGATATGTAAAAGCTGTGGCTTGGAAGAGCGGGGGGGGGGGGGGCACAGTGGTGAGAGATAGATAATATGTATAAGCAGAAAAATAACAATAGATGTCAAAAGTTAAAGTATGATAGATTGTATTGAATAATATGAATCTGCTGTAAAATAAACAATGTATAACAAATGTATTGAACTATGATAAAATACTAAAAATATATTTTAAAAAAAGAGCCAGTGGTGTGGAGGATTGTTGGTGAATTAGTTAGTAGTATTTATTTATTTTTGATTTATGTTTTAACTGCATTGTTTAATAATTGCCCTAAATTAATTCTATCTTAATATTTACTTTTTCTATCTTTTTAATTTTATCTTTTTAAAAAAGTTGTGACTCACTTTGGATCTTGGTTCCTACAGTGAAACAAATCAATATAGTAATAGAAATATTTCTGGATCTGTGACTCAAACCTTTTTAAAGTGTTGGTTTTACTACATTTCTCTGTATTGCATCAATGATACTTCTGAAAGTGGTTTCACTGAAGTAAATAAATAATCTGGAAATATGCTGATTACTTCTCATTTTTTCAAGGAATGGGAGTTGATGGTCCCGGCTTCGGAGGAATGAGTAGAATGACTGCAGGTAAATATTTCCTATATTTCTGTTGTTTCTGCACAAACCTTGTGAAGTTAGTGAAAAGCTCTTTGCTTATGTTTCAGGTGTTGGTGGATTTGGTGGCATGAAAGGAATGGCGAGCATGGGAGGATTTGGAGGAGTCAGTAGAATGGGAGGTATGTGGACATACGGCTTTTAAAAATTAAAAGTTGAGTTGATTTACCTCATGCCGTTACAAGAATAGGATTTTTTTTCTAGGAATGGGCACTGTGGATGATTTCAGAGGGAATATTGGTACCGGAATGACTGGTGGCATAGGAACAGGCATGGGAGGCATGGCAACCGGTATGGGAGGTAAGTTTAATAATAATGTACGTATGTTTTATTTATTTTTTGTCATGGTAGTCCAGTATAAACCCCCGCCCCCTTACAGTTAAGCTTAAGTGATGTAGAAGAAGCTGACTGATATCTTACTCTTTTTAGTAAATACTTTCTTTAGATATCATATTTTAAATTTACTTCATATTTTTCCATTTCACACTCTTTAATTTGATGTCAGGATTGATACTCGAAATGTGGAATATAATTTTTGATGTGAATGCTAAACTGCTTTTCAGAATATACAGAGTATATTCTGATGGGCAAATAAATATAAACAGATGGGCAAATAGATTCTTTGCAAAAATACATAAGGAACATATTATATCAGGATGATATGCAATGTACCATATTATTAAAATATATTTGAAATTTCCTAAAACTTAATTCAATATTAAGGTTGTATAGTGTTGACATATAATAGTCTACATCAGTGATTCCCAACCTTTTTTTGACCAAGGACCACTTTGACCAGGGAACACTCTCCAACATTAGTACCAAAAGTGTTACAAATCGGTTTTTTGTCAACTTTAGATTTGGTTTGGTTATTTGGGGTGCTGATTCAGAAAATTGCATTGTATTCACCACACCAGCTTTGGTTTCTCATATAGAACATATGTCATCCAGTAGTCACCATCTGCTTACCCACAGAAAACTATATTTAATAATTTAGAGCTGTGGTAGTAATAATCTTTCTTGGGTAGTCGGCCCCACTCCTCCCAACATTCCCATTGCCTCGGCACGATAAGAGGGTTTCGCAAGACCAGTCTTTCTCGTTGCCACGTGGTTTTGAGGCAATGGTGTAGTAATGGTGAGGCATCGGACCATATTTTTGTTCTTGCGTACCACTGGTGGTCCATGGACCACAGGTTGGGAATCACTGGTCTACATTTAAGTTTCTAGCAAATGCTGTTAGTTTGCTGGATAAGCGGAAGCCTTAGTTTCTCACTTGCATGAGCTTGAGCTGATGTTAAATGTGTATGTGCCTTCAAGTTGCCTATTGACTTATGACAAGTCCATGAATTGCATAGAGTCTTTTTAAGCATGGACTGCTCAGAGGTGGATTGCTTTTTCTGAAATATAGCCTACAATCCCTGGTTTCGCCTCTGCATTCATGTGCATGCTTTTAAAATACAAATGGGATCAATTAGAGAGGCTAATAAATATGCTGAAGACTCATTCCTGGAGATGAACTGAAGGTAGAATTTGGTATGTGTAGAAATCCCCCACTGTTGCCACTTTGCTGCTACTCCCTCCCCTCTGTTTAACTCCCTTCATTGAGAAATTATAGAAAACCTGTGTACTATTTTCTGCAGAAATGTTCCGTGGAGGAATGGGTGGAAGCATCGATAGAGATTTTGGCCGGAGTGACATGGCTATGAACCGTGGTTTTGCAGACTCATTTGGAAGAATGGGTATGGCCCTTGGTAAACCTCTACTTCAAGCATGTAGCAAGCAAACCATTTTCATGAGTAAACCTTGTCACTTCATATTCATAACCCCCCTTCCCAAAGAATTGTTTGTGAAATATATTGTTTTTTTTTCTGGAGATAGCAGAGTACAGGGTTCTTGTATTACTTTTGAGATTTAGTCAGAGTAGAGAAGGAGATCAGTAATGACACATTTCCGTGAAGACTTAGTAGCCATTTATTTGTTTTACAGGATAGTCAATGCATTTATCACTAGTTACATTAGTTTCCTGTAGTTTTGGGTTCCATGAGTAGGATTTCCAGAGAGAATGACTTCGGGATAAGAAAGCTATTTGGTAGAATTCCTTAGCTTTAAGTAAAACTGAGTGATATAACTTGATTTTTTTTCTGTCCTTGTTTAGGTGGTGCAATGGTTGGTGGTTTTGCAGGAGGAATGGGAGCTTCTAATATGGGCCCAGTAGGATCTGGAATGAGTAGGTTGATCTGTTTCAACCCAATATACATTCTGGAACAGAAGGAATTTAAATATTGTACTCAGTAGATCCAGACATCTTGTTTGTGGCAGGAAGAATATTGAGTCTGTATTTTTCTGTTTATGGGGCTGCAGTTTTGATGAAACTTCACTAAGAAATAGTGGTTTGTTATGATGTGCACTTGTAGCATCTAATTCAGTTTCTTGTGCTTAAGAGTTCGTTTCATCACTAAAGAGTTTCCTGTTGGGAAATTCTTCATTTGAAGACCAGCTAGAGTGGAATATTTGTATGAACTTAGTGCATACTCAGAGTTGAGTGAACTTTCAGGAACAAGCACGAGCAATCCAGAGTTTTACATGACTGTTGACTTTATGTGATGATCTAACATCTGTCCATAAGCAGACATTTCATAAAGTTGTCATGCATGCTTGCCTGCCAAATAAATCAAATATGCATGGTGCTGCATGGTGTCAGGAACATGTAACTCCTTTCCATTGACATATTTCCAACATATAAGGTGGAATATGATTCTAGCTTTCCTCCATGGTCACAGAAAGAGATTTATCCTTTGGCTTTTTTACATTTGTGAGAGCCATTGTGCTTATTCCCAGGATGGCATGGTGGAGCAATCTATGACAATTGGGTTCATCCTCTCACACTGACCCAACTAAGAAAAAGAATGTCAATTTAAGAAACTTCTTTCAAATAGAGGGAGGCAGAAATGCAGAGAACATGATGCTCCCACAGTGAGTAGGCTAGTTAGGAGTCTATATGCATTTCTGCTGGTGAAAAGTCTTCAAATAAGTTCTGCAAGAGAAGACTTATGTGGTCCCAGTAGCCCCATATTAGCCTAGATGACCTTGGTTTCTGCTACTGCTTCAGTTATCAATGGAACTACCAATGAAATTACTGAAAAAAGTAGATGCAATGCTAAGTGAATCATCCAGATCCAGAATAGTTGAATTTAGCTGCATAAATATTTAAAGGAAGACCTTAGAGTGAACACTATTGTGACTTGTAAGACTATTTTGTCCCCATGTTACGGCCTTTCTCTGAAATGAGTGTCTATCAAAACACACCGGATAATTTCGGTGTGTTTTGGGGCTTTTTAGCCATTGGCAATATACAGAGAGCTTATTTACCATATATACTTGAGTATAAGCTAAGGCACCTAATTTTACCACAAAAAAACCCCAGGGAAAACGTATTGATGTTGAGTATAAGCCGAGGGTGGGAAATGCAGCAGCTACGGGTAAATTTCAAAATCATCACAGATATCTATAAAATTATATTAATTGAGGGATCAGTAGGTTAAATATTTTTGAATATTTACATAAAACTGTAGTTTAAGATAAGACTGTCCAACTCTGATTAAATCATTATTCTAACCTTTAATGTACTGTAAATGTTCTTATTTATCCTTCTAAGAATAATAGGGAGTAAAATAATAAATGTAATAATAATAATAATATAGTAAGATAATGGAAATGTAATAATAATAGTAGTAGAGTAAAATAATAAATGTAATAATAATAAATAAAGTAAAAATTAATGTAATAAAAATAAAAAGGGATGAAAAACTCGGCTTATACTCAAAAGTATGTACAGTATATGACTAGTGAAGCAGCTGCTTGCACACCTGTGGACACATTTAGGCAAATAGAATGTTATCTCAAAAGTCAATTATGGAAATCCAGCCTTAATACTATTGACAGCATGGAATCTGTGAAATGGATAGTGGACCAGCATAGTCTGTTAACTGGAAAAAGTGGGTGCCACATGTGAACAGGCAAGAAACTAATGTGTCTACTTTAGGGAAGCTTATTTCCATAAAACCAGTTTTGCTGTCAGTCTGAACCTAAATCCAAAGGTTGTTTACTGTTAAGATAAAAAAAAATCAGAATTCATTTTTAAGCGTCTCTGTCTTTCCCTCCATCTGGAAAGACAGCCCGTATCTTGGGAAGTCTGACTTGGCCACGGTGGTACACGCTCTGGTCACATCCCGCCTTGACTACTGCAACGCTCTCTACGTGGGGCTGCCCTTGAAGACGGCCCGGAAGCTTCAGCTAGTCCAGCGCGCGGCAGCCATGTTACTAACGGGAGCGGGACGCAGGGAGCACACAACGCCCTTGTTGTCCCAGCTCCACTGGCTGCCGATCTGCTACCGGGCCCAATTTAAGGTGCTGGTGTTATCCTACAAAGTCCTAAACGGTTCCGGCCCAAAATACCTTTCGGACCGCATCTCGGCCTATGAGCCCACGAGGGCCTTGAGATCGTCTGGGGAGGCCCTTCTCTCGATCCCGCCTGCCTCACAGGCACGTCTGGCGGGGACGAGAGAGAGGGCCTTCTCAGTGGTGGCCCCCCGGCTGTGGAACACCCTCCCTGTTGACATCAGACAGGCGCCCTCCCTTATGGCTTTCCGTAAGAGCCTAAAGACCTGGCTATTCGAGAAGGCATTTAATTGAGAGCTACACGAATCTGGTAATGACAACTGGAACGGATTATGGATTATGAGACTGGCTATGATTCTATGTTGTGACGGTGCGGATTTGTTAGTGTGATTTAGATTAATGTGTAATATGGTTATGTTGATATATTGTGTGCTTTTTGTAAACTGTTTTTATATGTTGTACACCGCCGCGAGTCGCCCCAGGGCTGAGAGCGGCGGTCAACAAATGCAGTAAATAAATAAATAAATAAATAAATCTGTATGTTTTGCAGGCAGTGGAATAAGCAGCATGAACAGCATGACTGGAGGCATGGGCGGCATGGGGATGGGCATGGATCGAATGAGCTCCACTTTTGATCGAATGGGGCCCACCATGGGAACTGGTCTGGACAGAAATATTGACATGGATAGAGGATTTGTGCCCGGTCCGATGGGGAGTGGCGCGAGAGAGCGCGGAGGCTCCAAAGGCAACCAAATATTTGTCAGAAATGTAAGTATATGAGCAAACCTATTTAACAGTGGAATTTGCTTGCCTTTTCTCCTTTTGTTATTTATTCAATACTGTCTACTCATTCTCTTTTCAGCTTCCTTTTGACTTGACCTGGCAGAAGCTCAAGGAAAAGTTCAACCAGTGTGGTAAGTATTAAACATGAATGTAGTTGCATCTCAAACAAGAAATAACTAGGCTAGAATAGTGAGATGTTTGTCACTTCTTTCCAGATTTTGTAATCCTTGGGGAACCTTTAAACATCTAACTCCTCTCCTTATGCAGAACAATAGGCCCCTGGCAAGTCTTCTTGGTTCTCACCATTGCATTGTCTGTAGCCTCCAACAATTCTTTCTCTGTACATGAGGCAGGACATTGCAGAGAAGCATATAGATGTGGAGTTGTCTGTTCTGCTCCACACAAGGTGGAGGATTCTTTTAGGTAGTGCCATTTTGCCAGATTGTCTTTTGATCTGCCCATTCCACTTCTGAGTCTGTTCAGGGACTTCCAAGTTGTCCATTTTTGGTTTGCCCCTGGAGGAAGAGCCTCATGGGGGTCTGAACAAGTAGCTGAAGTGTCATGTGATTTGAAGTGATAGGGTCCCAGAGGTTTTTTCAGTGTGGCTGTACAGGCATGGGCAAATTTCAGTCCTCCAGATGTTTTTGACTTCAACTCCCACAATTTGCTGTTAGGAATTGTGGGAGTTGAAGTCCAAAACATCTGGAGGACTGAAATTTGCCCATGCCTGCTATACAGCAATCTATGTCTAGAAGATCATCATCTCTTTGTGCAGTTGAAGGCAGGAAGCCTGAAACTTGCAATTAAATGATTACGTATTGGATATTTAATGGATAATGTGTAGCAACCATGGAATTTCTTTCAGTGCATTGGAGTGTAAACCGAACTCTACTTTTGTTTGTACAGGCCATGTTATGTTTGCAGAAATAAAAATGGAAAATGGAAAATCGAAGGGCTGTGGGACGGTCAGATTCGACTCGCCAGAATCGGCAGAAAAGGCCTGTAGAGTAATGAATGGCATCAAAATCAGTGGCCGAGAAATCGATGTACGCTTGGATCGCATTGCATAATTTATAATTCCTTATGGAGGAACATTCCTTTGGTCGGTTTAGCTTGTCTTCCCCCCCCCCACCCCACCCCACACTCTCTAGAAAAAAAGTTGTTTTTAGTAACATTGTATGCTTTCTTTGAGTTTGAAAAAACCTTTTAAAACCTACCAGCCTTCAGCAGTATAGTGTTTAATATACTGTGAACTTGTTATCTTTTAATGACATTTTGGTTTATGAAGAGAACTTTCTTGACTTGTTTTAATGGTATGAATGTCCACACCTTCTGCTGCAGTCGAGAAGCTGTGGCTATTTAATACCTGTCTAAAATCATGCTAAGTGTCTCTAGTCATTCAGTTTAAATGAATGGTTCTACTGTTTTTAATAAAATAAGCCATTTTCCCTGTTTAACCAAACTGTATACCGGGACTTGTTTTGTGCCAGTTCCCCATATTGAAATTGTAATGTAAAAAAAAATTCTGTCTCACCCAAGCAGCATTTGTTTTACTTGCATTTATGGTCACTGCTGTTCCTGTCTCTAAAAAAAGATATACTTATTAACCCCTGGTAGTTTTAAGCTTCAAAATAATTTTTATTTCATAATGAGCTTGAGTATTCAGCGTTGCCCGGGTTATTTGAAAAAGTTAAAATTTTAATTGTACAAAATACATAAACTTGTGGGTGAACTACAACTCACATCATGCCAGGTTAACCTCTAAGAAACTCCATCAGTAGTTAAAGTTGGTTATGTTGGGCAAGTTTGCTTGAGATGCATCATGGCTGGGTTTCAGTGTGCTCTCTAGCTATAGGGTAAACTACAACTTCCACTATGGTGAGTCATTCCCCTCAAACCCCCCCCCCCCCCCCAAGTAAGTTGAGTTAGTCATGGGGGTTCTGTGTGCCAAGTTTAGTCCAGGTCCATCATTGGGGGAGGTCACAGTTTCTCTGGTTATAGGTGAACTACAACTCCCAGAAAGGTCCCTAAATCTGCCAGTAATCAAATTTTGGCATATCAGGTATGTGTGCTAGGTTTGGCCCATATCCATTTGTGTTTGGGTTTCACAGTGACCTCTGGATGTAGGTGAACTACAACTCCCCCAAATTAAGAAGATTTTCCTCCAAAGACTCGAGTATTTTTTGCTGGTCATGTTGGCTCTGTGTGCCAAGTTTGAGCCAATTCCATATTTGATGGAGTTCAGAGTGCTCATTGATTGCTGGTGAACTATAAATCCCAGTACCTACAACTCCCAAATGTTCTAGCCAATTCCCCACCAGTATTCAAATTTGGGCATATCAAGTATACATGCTAAGGTTGCTCCAGATCGATCATTATTTTTGTTCATAGTGCGCTCTACATGTAGGTGAACTACAACTCATATAAGTCCCTCCAAAGATCTCCAGTATGTTTTGTTGGTCATGGGGGTTTTGTGTGCCAAGTTAGTTCCAGGACCATCATTGGTGGAGTTCAGGGTGCTCTTAGACTGCAGGTGAACTATAAATCCCAGTACTTCCAATTCCTATAAATCATGGTGAATCCTCCCAAAAGCTCTTCAGCTCTATTTGAAGAGTAGGAAAGGGTTAAGGGAGAAGCAGTGGGCGGAACCATGCAAATTCCACACCAATGGAGAGAGTCACAAAATGTTTGTGGTGGAGGAAATTGTCTCTGTGTGAAAACCTTCACTTGGGTAATGGGCAGTCACTGGCAGGAGTTGCACATGTTGGAAGGAGGGCCTTTGGTGGTTCCTCATAGGTAGGAATCATAGCTGGAGGCAGGAATGTGGGCACCCCAGCTACATACATACGTTCACTTTTATTGTAGATGTGGACTCTCTGTAAATACATTTCAGACCCCAAATGGGATTCTAGAGTTTTTTTTCTCACTAAATGAAGAAACTAGTCCTTTTATTCCTTAAGGTTTTTTATTTTTTAAATCATTTATGACAGTGCTTAAAAGAATTCCCACCAATTTTAGTTGCCACAGATTCTGAAAGGATTGTTTCCTATGACCCCAAGTTCATACAGGATTGATAATATTGCAAAGGCCAGGTACATCAGTAGACAGACAGCCCCCAGTTTTTTGTCCAGCTTCCAGCCGTTTAGATGAACAGCCAGGAAAATGAAAACGATGGAGCAAACGAGAGAGATGGCCGTGTAAGTCAGGCCACTGCTGCTCACTTGCACAGGCCCCGATGTGTCCACAAAGGCTGTCTTTATAAACCAGGGTAATCCCAAACACAATAGATCAAAGACGTTGGATCCAACAATGTTTGACATGGCCATGTCTCCTTTTCCTGAAAAAAAATAAAATGCAGCTTGTCAGCCTTAATGGGAAACACATCAGCTGTGGACTGATATAGTATTTTAAAACCCATGTACTATGTCTAGATCACACAAGTCAAGAAAATGGGAATTGGCACACACTGGCCCTGGAGTGGCCCTCAAGATGTTGGACTGCAACTCATGAATTCCTCATGAGAGCTAATGGGAGCTGTGAAATTGTAACATCTGCAAGGCTGCAGTAGGTTCTGTTTAGTCAGGATGGTGGTGAATTTAGACACAAGACTTGTGGATAGGATGCCTGGCTTTAGAATGTTTGTTTAACTCTTTTCAACCTGAGAGCCACCACAAGTGCTGTTGGGTTGCAATTCCCATTATCCCCAGTCCACAGATAATCAAAAGCGATGGGAGATGTCATTCAATAACATCTGTGGACCCAAACTGGGTAAAAATTAAAGAGCAGCAACCACTATGTCAAAAATTATAGTCGGTCCGAGGTATACACAAATTCTCCGTCCACTGATTCAATGGCTTTTTCAATGACAATTCAATAAGGTGGTCCTCCATGAAAATGAGATTGACACCTCGATCTACGTTGTATCAGTTTCTAGCATGGTTGCTTTTCAATTCTAACATGCCTGAAAATATTTTAGGTGCCCTACTACTGTGTTTCTCTGAAAATAAGACACTGTCTTATATTTATTTTTCCTCAAGAAGTCACACTATGGCTTATTTTCAGGGGATGTCTTATTTTTATGAAGTATGGTACAACAATTTGCATTTATGGGATTTTTTTTCAGGAGTGACTTGAGAAACTGCAAGTCGCTTCTAGTGTGAGAGAAATGGCCATCTGCAAGGACGTTGCCCAGGGGACGCCTGGATTTTTTTGATGTTTTACCATCCTTGTGGGAGGCTTCTCTCATGTCCCCGCATAGGGAGCTGGAGCTGACAAAGGGTGCTCATCCGCTCTCCCCGGATTTGAACCTGCGACCTGTCAGTCTTCAGTCCTGCCGGCACAAGGGTTTAACCCACTGGGCCACTGGTGGCTCCATGGGATGATTTATTATTTACTAGCTGTACCTGCCACGCGTTGCTGTGGACCACCTTCCCTCCCTTCTTCCCTCTCCTTTCCCTCCTTCCTTCGCTCCCTCTTTCCTTCATTCTCTTTTCTTCTTTCCTTCTCTTTCCTTCTTTCCTTCTCTCCTTCCTTCCTTCCTTCTCTACCTCTTTCCTTCCTTCCCCCCCATTTCTTTTCCTTCTGATTTTTCTCCTTTCTTCCTTCTCTATCTCTTTCCTTCCTTCACTTTTTGCTTCCATCCTTCTTTCCTTCCCTCCCTCTTTCTCTCCTTTCTTCCTTCTCTACCTCTTTCCTTCCTTCCTTTGCTTTTTCTTCCATCCTTCCTTCTTTCCTTCCCTCCCTCTTGCTCTCCTTTCTTCTCTTCCTCTTTCCTTCCTTCGCTCTTTGTTTCCATGCTTCTTTCTTTTCCTCTCTCTCTCTCTCTCTCTCTTTCCTTCCTTCCCTCCCTCCTTCTTTCCCTTTTTTTCTTTATTGTCATTTAGCTTTTCATCATTTAGATTTTTTGAGTTTTAAGTCCTTTCCACTGTTTTTTTTTTTGGGGGGGGGGAGGGTGTTATGAATGATGATCACTCGTTGGTCTGTTAGGGGTATAGTATCCAAATTTTGTGTCAATTAATCCAGTGGTTTTTGAGTTATGTTAATCCCACAAACAAACATTACATTTTTATTTATATAAATGGGATGATCTTTCTGGGCTCAGTAGCAGACTGCTTGCTGTAGATTTTCCCCTATCCCCTGGTGTGTGTTTGGGGTGAGAGAAACCTACAGACTGTTGCTGGTGAGTGCTGGGGAGCAGCAGCTTTACTGGTGTTTGTGGGGGGTGAGAGAGACTGCTACTGGTTGGTGCTGGGGGGAGAGAGACCCACAGAGCTCTGAGTAAAACAGCAGTCACAGCTTTGCTTCTTTCTCTAAGGACACACAATACCTAAAGCAGAGGGTCCTTACTTTCATTTTCTATGTCTCCCTCTATGCCTCAGCTTGCAGCATGCACACAACGACCGGGACACGACAGGGGAAGCTGACCATGTATGCTGCATAGCCACACCTATCACTATGTCTTATTTTCAGGGAAACAGAATAAATAAGTACCCCCTTGCTAGAGGAATCTAGCACCATGTTTGTATAGTATTCTGCCCCCAGCCACCCAGTTGCCTTTCGGGAAGTTTGCAAAGTCAGCATGGAGTCAGTGACCTGCTTTTGGTACCTTTTATTTTTATTAAATGTTAGAAAATCCTCCTTTCTTTGTTTTGATGGCTTGAAAGGTTTGGCACTACATGCCAACTAAGAAAGCACACGTGTGACCTTTTGTCTAACATGGAAAAAGAAAACCCTCTATCCACCATTGCAAACCACTCAGTGGCTTGGGCATCCAATCTGGAAGGCTTACCTTTTCTGGCCACTAGCACACTTGCAATTGTATCTGGTATACTTGTTCCCGCTGCTAACAATGTCAGGCCCATTACAGTGTCTGGAATTTTTAGGGTTTCACCTGTAACCGGAAAAACCAAGAGCAACAAACTTGTCATTACTGGAATGTCTTGGGGATAACTTTTAAAAACAATCACAAACCGATTAAAATATTGAACTTTGGTGATTTGCATAGTGAAGAATAGGTCGAGAAGATGAAATATCTAGCTTTGGAACTATTTTAACCATGAAATCCTGCATCAAGTCTTCCTTCAAGTACAAGAAAAACTTGCTGTTCTTGAAGTCTCCTTTGGAATGATTCCAACTACTATAATCCTTTCAATTGCTTTGGCAGTTTTGTCACATGAGCTCTTGGAAGTCATATGAACTGCTAACCCTTCTTAATGACCCACTGTTCAAAGAAACACATGAATTCCCATGGGAGGAGGGATGGGAAGTCTGCTGATAATCCTTATGCCAAAAGTTTCAGGAGGCATTCCTGAGAAAGTTCAGTGGGAAAGTAATGTTTAAAGAAGTGATAAAGGGATACTGTCATTATCATTGCAGTTGCATTTTAGAACCCCAAGTTTATCAGCTTGTTAACGAAGCTTTGATGTAGTTCAAACATTTCTGATACCTGGAAACAGTAAATATTCAGTTTACATAGTAGTCTTGTGCATTTGTACAGAATCACTATATGTTGGGGTTTGTTTCATTTGTAAGATCCCGTTTTAGTTTTTGAGCATCTCTCCCAAAAACTGGCACCTTTCTGAATGAGCTTTACTGTCCAAGGTCCAAAAAAAAAAAAATGATTGTGTTGAGATTAACTTCACAATTCAGCAGCAGATCAGTTGCACAACTTCAGCACTTTCCAGTAGCTTCTTCCTGCACAGTATTTTCAGTCAACTGCTTCCACAGCCTGCAGTCACGCTGGAAACCTTTACAGAGACTTGAGCACATGCCCGGCCATTGTCAGTTTTACCATTGTCTTTCCCCCAGTCTAGATGATATTACAAACTTACCACAGCATACAGTTATATCTTGTCTTAGCAGACAGGTTCTTTAATTACATATAGCCTTCGACGAACAACATCACAGCTCAAAGAGAAATATACACTGTACATGACTTCCTTATATACAATTCATTTACACATAGCAATCACCACTTGGTTCCCAACTCATTGACTCAACTCAAACCCAAGATTGCATCATTCACAATCACCTGGACTAGGCCAGAACACATTCCCCAAATGAAGTTCTATACACAGTTAATGCATTACTCAGCATTTCCAATAGAAGCCCGTTAGCAGTGCATGACTCAGCTATATTACATTACAATACATTGTAAAACTTGACAGAACGTTTTTGACCCATTGGCAGCAAAGTACCAGGGCCTCCAGCGAAAATCAGCCGACCAAACGGTTACCGTTCTCACTTTCGTTTCATCAATTTTTCCGAACAGGAGGGGAATGTACCGTTTTGTGCCATCCGAATGAACGGTACGAAATGAAAACAAAAACAAATGAGACAAATACCAGGCCCATAACTATTACCCAGCTTAAAGTCTGAAATCGGATATGGCATCTAATGTGATCCTCACCACTGCTTACATTTTGCTTGCAGTGACAGGTAGAATATAGGAAAGAATGCAGGACTAGACGAAGCACAGACAGATTTTAGCTCAGATTTGGAAACATCCGTACAAATGCAGATGTCTGCCAAAGAGAGACGAGAGCAGTTACTAGTTCATAATGCTGTGAATGCAGAAGCTCTTGGGTTCAATCTATATAAATAAAAATGTAATGTTCATTTGTGGGATTAACAGAACTCAAAGACCACTTGACAAATTGACACCAAATTTGGACACAATACACCTATCAGGCCAATGAGTGACCATCACCCATAACCCCCCCCCCCCCCAAAAAAAAGCAGAAAGGACTTAAAAACCTTAAAAAGCTAAATGACAATACAGATGCCTGGCTTACGAACCATGGAGGCTTTGCTCAAGTGTTGCCTTTGAGCCCAACTCTTTTCCAGCCTATGTCTAGAGGGAAGGAATGAAGTAGGGAAAGGGGGAAGGAAGGAAGGAAGGTGAGAAGGGAAAGAAGGAAGGAGGAAAGGAAAGGGAATGAAGGAAAAAAGCAGAGAAGCAAGGAAGGGAAGAAAGACGTAGAGAAGGAAAGAAGGAGAATAAGGGAGGGAAAGAAAAAGGGGGTATGCAGGAAAGAGGTAGAGAAGGAGGGAAGGAAAGAAAAAAAGTAGGAAGAAAAGAGATGGAAGGAGGGAAAGGAGAGAAAGAGGGAGGGAAGGAAGGAAGGAAGGAAGGAAGGAAGGAAAGAGAAGGAAGGATGGGCCCAAAGAGCAAAGGAAGGAAGGAAGGAATGAGGTAGAGAAGGAAAAAAGGAGAAGGGAAAGAAGAAAGGGAAGGAAGGAGAGAAAGAAAGAAAGAAAAGGAGAGAAAGAGAGGGAAGGTTGGTCACACCAATGCATGGCGGGTACAGCTAATCCCTGATATATTTAATTTGATCAAAGGGGTTTAAAAGTCATTCATGTTATTCTTTTTCCCAGGAAAATGTGACTCATTTTACTATCACACTAACTATACAACATTGCACCCAATCTCAGACCAACTTGCACTCTAATAAAATTCATATAATAAATCAGCATTGTGGAAATGCAAGGCATGAACTATCAAAGTCAGTCTAGTCCAATGATGGGCAACCTTTTGAGTTTGGTGTGTCAATACTTGCCAAAAAACCGAGCATAACTCGAGTGGGGTGTCACTTCGAGAAAAACCCATAATTTCATTATATTTATAATTTAATAACAAAAATATATTATTGTAATATATAACTGTATTTAATAAACCAAAAACTAATTATTTATGTTACCTGCTTTTTCTATAATGACATATATCCCGGCATTATAGAAAAATGCTGGTGTAGGAGCCGAGGATGAAATGTCCTTCTTGGGATGCGGCCCCATCTTCTCTGTATGTGGCCGCATGCGGCTGTGTGTCATCGAAAATGGCTATGCGTGTCAGTGCTGACACACGTGTCATAGGTTCGCCATCATGGGTCTAGTCCTAGGTATTAATGGATTTAGTAGAAGCACAACTGAAACTTAGGATGTATTTGACATGGCTAAATTGCAGAATAGCACACTCCTAGGCTATATATACGTACCTACTATTGTTACCATCCATACAAGGATGTATGTAAATGCGGAAATCCACACTGCTGACATGAAAAATGTGAGCATGAACCAGTTCTTCCAAAACTGCCGCCTGCAGTCAGGTGTAGTCAGGTACAGCAGAATAATAATGGGAAGGGAGAGCACCCATAAAACTCGCTTCAGATCTGCTTCCGGGACAGTGAACACAGTTGGAGGATCTGCCAAGACAGCGGGAACTATGTCAAAATGAGTTCTCACTTTCAACTGTTCAAATACAACCTACCTCCATTAGATATTTGCCGGACTTAAATGTTTTAAAACCTCCATTAGATATTTGCAGGACTTAAATGTTTTCTATGATACACAGGTTTTATAGTGTTTAGATCTAATAGAACTGTGTCAAAAAGTGAAACTTGGGTTTGATCTGTGTTCTATAGCAAAGCAACTGCTGCATGAATGTTTGAGCATATGCAATCCTGGTTAAACCTATACAGTTGGTCCTTTCGATTTGCAAATTTGATTATTCACGGATTTGATTTCTTTAGGACAGTGGGTGAGCAGATGGGGACTACTTGATGGCATATATTCTGTATCAGAAAGTAGAGCTGATGTGGTCCAATGAATTAGCATCCCAAATAATCAAGCTGAATCTAAAGTTGACTAAAAACCGATTCATAACTCTTTTGGTACTAATGTTGGAGAGCAGTCCCTGGTCAAAGTGGTCCTGGGTCAAAAAAAAGGTTGGGAACCACTGCTTTAGGAAAATCTAGCTTCTCCAGTGACAATCGGTCAACTTCTGCCAGAACTCAGGCTGGATCAACACTGCAATTTAAAATCCACATTATATGCTTTGAACTGGATTATATGGCAGTATAGACTCGTATAATACAGTTCAAAGCAGATAATGTGGATTATCTGCTTTATTTATTTATTTATTTATTTATTTATTTATGCCATTTATGTGCCACCCTTCTCACCCCAAAGGGGACTCAGAGCAGCTTACAAGATATACATACATACAATATATTATATTATTAGCATAGTACAATATCAGTATTAAATATTACTATATTGTACTATACCATTATATTCTATTATTATTAGCACTATTACATGTAATTTATTTATTTATTTGGAGCATTTCTACCCCGCCCTTCTCAACTCCCTAGGGGGGGACTCAGGGCGGCTTCCAGCTGGCACATATTCGATGCCTACATTTAAACACAATAAAATACATATCACAGTAATTATAAATAGTTAAAGCATTAAATTAAAACATTAAATTATTGCAGTAAAATCTCATAGAAAAAGCCAGCTTATTGGCCATCGTTTCGCCGAGTTCCGTAATCAGTGAGCCATTCGGCTAATCATAGTCCGTTTACAAAGCTCATTGTCGTCATTGTCCTTGTCAATCTGCTAGATTACCCAAAGGCCTGGTCCCATATCCATGTTTTTAATTTCCTTCTAAAAGAGAGGAAGGATGACGATGACCTAATTTCCCCGGGGAGTGAGTTCCACAGGTGGGGGGCCACCACCGAGAAGGCCCTGTCCCTAGTCCCCGCCAGTCTCGTTTGTGATAAGGGCGGGGCCGAGAGCAGGGCCCCTCCAGAAAATCTTAAATTCCTAGGTGGGACATAGAAGGAGATACGTTTGGACAGGAACGCTGGGCCGGAGCCGTATATTTATTTATTTGGGGTTCTTTTACCCTGCCCTTCTCACCCCGAAGGGGACTCAGGGTGGCTTACAGAAGCAAGGCACGATTCGATGCCTGCAGTACAAAACAGTCAAAACACAAAATTAGACAATTACACAATTACATCACACTAGTTCATGCATTATATCAATAAAATCAGTAAAATCAATAAAAACCGATACAAACCCAATTCCTCTCTTACAAGGTCAGCGATCGCTAACTCATAGTTCTAGTTTTCCATTCCACTTCATCAATCCTGTTGGTCTTATTCACCTGACTGTCTTACTTAATTGCCTGATTGCCCAAAGGCCTGGTCCCATAACCACGTCTTCACCCTCCTCCTGAAGGAGAGGAGGGATGATGATGCCCTGATTTCCCCCGGGAGTGAGTTCCACAGGCGAGGGGCTACCACTGAGAAAGCCCTGCTCCTCGTCCCCACCAGCCTCACTTGTGAGAGTGGTGGGGTCGAGAGCAGGGCATCCCCAGATGATCTTAGATTTCGGGGTGGGACGTAGAGGGAGATACATAACAGTATGATATGGCCTCCATTATCCAGCAAAGGATCACCGCCTTGTCGGGGCGCTGGAGCTTGAGCACCTCAATGATGTCATGAGCGAAACCGTGAAGGGACACCCAAGACGGGACGGTTGTGGCAGAGAGGTCAGACCAAGCGTGATCCCTGGGGAATGCAATGGCAAACCACTCCAGTATCCTTGCCAAGAAAACTAAATGGACCAGTACAACCAGAGATATGTCGGTATGCCATTGGAAGATGGGACTCCCAGGTCGGAAGATGGCCAAAATGCTACTGGGGAGGAGCAGAGGATAAGTTCAACTAGCCCCAGATGTGATGACTCAAAGCCGAAAGGAAGGCTAGCGGCCCGACGGTACTGGAGGTGAACGACGAATCCGATGCTCTAAAGATCAACACACCATAGGAAACCTGGAATGTAAGATCTATGAGCCAGGGCAAATTGGATGTTGTTATTGCTGAGATGTCAAGACTAAAGATAGACATTCTGGGGGTCAGCGAACTGAAATGGACTGGAATGGGCCACTTCACATCAGATGCCACCAGATCTACTACTGCGGACAAGAGGAACATCGAAGAAATGGAGTAGCCTTCATAATTAATAAGAAATTCGCTAAAGCGGTGCTTGGATACAACCCAAAAAATGACAGAATGATCTCAATTCGAGTGCAAGGAAAGCCTTTCAACATTACAGTGATCCAAATATAGCCCCAACCACAGCTGCTGAAGAAGCACAAGTAGATCAGTTCTATGAGGATCTGCAGGACCTACTGGATAATACACCAAAAAGAGACATTATTTTCATTACAGGAGACTGGAATGCCAAGGTGGGAAGTCAAATGACAACAGGGATCACAGGCAAGCATGGTCTGGGAGAACAAAATGAAGCGGGACGCAGGCTGATAGAATTTTGCCAGGAAAACTCGCTGTGTATAACGAATACTCTCTTCCAACAACCTAAAAGACGGCTTTATACATGGACCTCACCAGATGGTCAACACCGAAATCAGATTGACTACATCCTTTGCAGCCAAAGGTGGCGGACATCCATCCAGTCGGTGAAAACAAGACCTGGGGCTGACTGTAGTTCAGATCACAAACTTCTTATTGCACAATTTAGAATAAAACTAAAGAGATCAGGGAAAAAACACAGACCAGTTAGATATGATCTCACTAACATTCCTAGCGAATATACAGTGGAAGTGAAGAACAGATTTGAAGGACTAGATTTAGTAAACAGAGTCCCAGAAGAACTATGGACAGAAGTCCGCGACATTGTTCAGGAGGCGGCAACAAAGTACGGCCCAAAGAAAAAGAAAACCAAGAAGGCAAAATGGTTGTCTGCTGAGACACTGGAAGTAGCCCAAGAAAGGAGGAAAGCAAAAGGAAACAGGGATAAGGGGAGATATGCCCAGTTAATGCGCAATTCCAGAGGTTAGCCAGAAGAGATAAGGAACCATTTTTAAACAAGCAATGCATGGAAGTGGAAGAAGACAACAGAATAGGAAGGACAAGAGACCTCTTCCAGAAAATTAGAAACATTGGAGGTAAATTTCAGGCAAAAATTGGTATGATAAGAAACAAAGATGGCAGGGACCTAACATAAGCTGAAGAGATCAAGAGAAGGTGGCGAGACTATACAGAAGATCTGTATAGGAAGGATAATAATATTGAGGATAGTTTTGACGGTGTGGTGAATGAATTAGAACCAGACATCCTGAGGAGTTAGGTTGAATGGGCCTTAAGAAGCATTGCTAACAACAAGGCAGCAGGAGACGACGGGATCCCAGCTGAACTGTTTAAAATCTTAAAAGATGATGCTGTCAAGGTGATGCATGCCATTTGCCAGCAAATATGGAAAACACAAGAATGCCATCAGACTGGAAAAAATCAACTTATATCCCCATACCAAAAAAGGGAAATGCTAAAGAATGCTCAAACTTCCGTACAGTGGCCCTTATTTCTCATGCCAGTAAGGTAATGCTCAAGATCCTGCAAGGAAGACTCCAGCAATACATGGAGCGAGAGTTGCCAGATGTTCAAGCTGGGTTTAGAAAAGGCAGAGGAACGAGAGACCAGATTGCCAATATCCACTGGATAAAGGAGAAAGGCAGGGAGTTTCAGAAAAAAACATCTACTTCTGCTTCATTGACTATTCTAAAGCCTTTGACTGTGTGGATCATAATAAATTGTGGCAAGTTCTTAGTGGGATGGGCATCCCAAGCCACCTTGTCTCTCTCCTGAGGAATCTGTACAAGGACCAAGGAGCAACAGTCAGAACTGACCACGGAACAACAGACTGGTTCAAGATTGGGAAATGCGTACGGCAAGGCTGCATCCTCTCACCCAACCTTTTTAACTTGTATGCAGAACACATCATGCGATGTGCGGGGCTGGAGGAATGCAAAGGCTGGGGTGAAAATTGCTGGAAGAAACATTAACAACCTTAGATATGCAGATGACACCACTCTGATGGCCGGAAGTGAGGAGCTGAGGAGCCTTCTAATCAAGGTGAAAGAAGAAAGCGCAAAAGCTGGGTTGCAGTTAAACTCAAAAAAACCAAGATTATGGCAACAAGAATGATTGACAACTGGAAAATAGAGGGAGAAACCGTGGAGGCCGTGACAGACTTTGTATTTCTAGGTGCAAAGATTACTGCAGATGCAGACTGTAGCCAGGAAATCAGAAGACGCGTACTTCTTGGGAGGAGAGCAATGTCCAGTCTCGATAAAATAGTGAAGAGTAGAGACATCAGACTGACAACAAAGATCCGCCTAGTCAAAGCCATGGTATTCCCTGTAGTCACCTACGGATGTGAGAGCTGGACCTTAGGGAAGGCTGAGCGAAGGAAGATCGATGCTTTTGAGCTGTGGTGCTGGAGGAAAGTGCTGAGAGTGCCTTGGACAGCGAGAAGATCCAACCAGTCCATCCTCCAGGAAATAAAGCCCGACTGCTCACTGGAGGGAAAGATACTAGAGACAAAGTTGAAGTCCTTTGGCCACATCATGAGGAGACAGCAAAGCCTAGAGAAGACAATTATGCTGGGGAAAGTGGAAGGCAAAAGGAAGAGGGGCCAACCAAGGGCAAGATGGATGGATGGCATCCTTGAAGTGACTGGACTGACCTTGAAGGAGCTGGGGGTGGTGACGGCCGACAGGGAGCTCTGGCGTGGGCTGGTCCATGAGGTCACGAAGAGTCGGAGACGACTGAACGAATGAACAACAACAACATTGTATTACATTATAATATTATAAATATTATTTATTTATTTATTTATTTATTTATTTATTTATTTATTTAAAAGTTTTGTATACCGGCCTTCTCACCTCTCTTGAGGGACTCAGACCGGTTTCCAACCATAATATCACATACAATCAATAAAACATCATAATACATATTACAGTAAAACATTAAAACAGCAATTACAATCAATAACTATAATGGTCAGTCGTCACACTAAAATCGTTGCTCATCATCCTCCATCCATATCTCAGGGTGTTGGCTCACTCGTCGAATGCCTGTCTCCATAACCAAGTCTTCACCTGTTTCCTAAATGTCAGGATAGAGGGGCGGTTCTGATCTCCAGTGGGAGAGAGTTCCAGAGTCGAGGGGCCACCACCGAGAAGGCCCTGTCCCTTGTCCCCACCAGACGTGCTTGCGAGGCCGGTGGGACCGAGAGCAAGGCCTCTCCAGATGATTTTAATAATCTTGATGGTTCATAGGGGAGAATACGTTTGGAGAGGTAAACAGGGCCGGAGTCGTTTAGGGCTACATTATATTATCTTACATTATATCATAATGTAATCTGGATTATATAACAGTAGACCCAGCTCTAAAAATTCCTAGAGAGAACAATGCTAGTTATTTGTAGGTTCTTCAGTGAGATTCCATGTTCAACTTTAGGTGGAATTTAACCATAGAATCATGCCAGAAAATCTAGAGATTCCTAAAGAGGGCTCTGTTTGGTAATATAGTATTTTCATTTTCATGGGGGTCCTGTGCCCCTAACCCAACCAAATGTAGAAGGCTGCTTGTACTTCACTGGAGCCATTATGTCATTTTAAACCACAACAGCTGCCAGGGCTTAGGTTGCATTAACGTCAATTTTATTTTATGCTACTCTGCTGCTGAGTATACATGCCCAGTGTGGAACACATCTCACCACACTAAAACACTGGATGTGGCTCTTAATGAGACATGACGCATTATCACGGGGTGTCTGCGCCCTACAAAACTGGAGAAATTACACTGTCTAGCTGGTATTGCACCACCTGACATCCGCCGGGAAGTAGGAACCAATAGTGAAAGGACCAAGGCAGTGACATCTCCAGCTCATCCCTTGTTTGGGTATCAGCCAGCACGTCAACGACTTAAATCAAGAAATAGTTTTCTTAGATCTACAGAGACACTCACTGGAACACCTCAGCAAGCGAGAGTCCAAAAGTGGCAGGCTGAAACCCGGCATCTCAATCCGTGGGTGACACCAGATGAGAGACTCCCTCCTGGGCACACAGAAGACTGGGCGACTTGGAAGGCACTGAACAGACACCACGAGATGCAGAGCCAATCTTAAGAAATGGGGCTACAAAGTGGAATCCACGACATGCGAGTGTGGAGAAGAGCAAACCACTGACCACCTGTTGCAATGCAACCTGAGCCCTGCTACATGCACCAGGGAGGACCTCCTTGCGGCAACACCAGAGGCACTCCAAGTGGCCAGATACTGGTCAAAGGACATTTAATCAACTACCAAGCTTGCAAAATCTTTATTTTTTATCTGTTTGTTTGTTTTGTTCTGTTAGAAATTTAATACAATGGTATGGTTGCTGATGACACGACAAATATAATTTTATGATTGCAAAATGTAAAATTTGAGAGATTATTCATTTCAGAGTTTATTTTGGAGCTCTTATTAAAAAAAGTGCACATGCATACCTTCAGAAATTGTATCAAGTCCATGTAAACTTATTGAGAGTTGAGCGTAATCGGACTCATCGTGGAAAATCCCACTGTCTGCCCTGGACTGTCGCCGGACCAGGGGCCCCCTTTCCTCCTTCCATCCCATTAGCGGCTGCTCTTCCACTTCTTCTAGATGCGCCGTGAAACATGTACAACAAGGGCTGAACTTCCTCATGATGTACTGGTTGATTTTAATGTCAAAGCACAGGACCAAAATATAGACTCCGTATATTAACAAGAGTGAAGAACATTCGTACCTAGAACAAATTAGAAATTTATGTAAGAGCATCTGTTTCGTACCCAGATTGATATAATAATAATAATAATAATAATAATAATAATAATAATAATAATAATAATAAGACACTTTATTTATTACCTGTCTCTCTTAATGGCTCGAGGCATGGGTACAACAAACTCAAAAACAAATGAACATAAAAATACAAATTACTAAATCACACACACACATATAGTACTGTTCCATTATCCAGGCGGAGGCCACAATTGATGATGATGACAATAATAATAATAATAATAATAATAATACACTTTATTTATTACCTGTCTTTCCTAATGGTTCGAGGCATGGTAAAACAAAGTCAAAAACAAATTAATATAAAAATACAAATTGCTAGATCACACTCGCATATATAGTACTGTTCCATTATCCAGGCGGAGGCCACAATTGATGATGGTGATAATAATAATAATAATAATAATAATAATAATAATAATAATAATAATAATACACTTTATTTATTACCTGTCTCTCTTACTGGCTCGAGGCATGGTACAACAAATTCAAAAACAAATTAACATAAAAATACAAAATTACTAAATCACACACGCACATATAGTACTGTTTCATTATCTGGGCGGAGGCCACAACTGATAATAATAATAATAATAATAATAATAATAATAATAATAATAATAATAATGCACTTTATTTATTAGCTGTCTCTCCTAATGACTCGAGGCATGGTACAGCAAATTCAAAAACGAACATAAAAATACAAATTACTAAATCACACATGCACATATAGTACTGTTCCATTATCTGGGTGGAGGCCACAATTGATAATAGTAGTAATAATAATAATAATACACTTCATTTATTATCTGTCTCTCCTACTGGCTCGAGGCATGGTACAACAAATTCAAAAACAAATGAACATAAAAATACAAATTACTAAATCACACACACACACATATAGTATTGTTCCATTTTCTGGGCGGAGGCCACAAGGGGGAGCTAGAGAGAGGGATGGATAGTCCGTTTTATGGGGGTGGAAGGAGGAAAGCTATTTCCCCCTATTTTCCTGTTATTCCCCATAGCCATGTCACCATTGTGGAAGCAACTTTCGTTTATGATATGGGAAGGAGGGAGGGGGCATAACCAGTGAAACTGGTGGAAATGGTTTTCCTCCTTCAGCTGCCCCCTCCCCCGTAAAATGGACTATCCTCTCCCTAGCACTCCCTTGTGGCCTCCGCCCAGATAATGAAATAGTACTCTCTCTCTCTCTCTCTCTCTCTCTCTCTCTCTATATATATATATATATATATATTAGGCTTGGTCAATCCATGGTTCTAAAGTACTTACAAAACTAAAGTTCTGGTGGTGAAAATTTCAGAACTCAAACAAAACTCTCAAAATTTCATAATAAATGGCAGTTCCTAATTGGTTCTGTCATTAAAATTACCAATAATGAAATAATAATTAAATTTTGCAAGTTTTGTTAGAGTTCTGAAATTTTCACCACCAGAACTTTAGTTTTGTAAGTACTTTAGAACCATTTAGAACCATGGATTGCCCAAGCCTAATATATATATATATATGAAAACTTATACCAAACACAGCTACAGAATTGACATATAGAGACAATAGAATGTAAATCAAAACTCATGATTGAAATTTCATTGAGCAGGCCTGAATGTCACACTTTGTTGTTGTTCATTCGTTCAGTCGTCTCCGACTCTTCGTGACCTCATGGACTGGAGGTGAACGACGAATCCGATGCTCTAAAGATCAACACACCATAGGAACCTGGAATGTAAGATCTATGAGCCAGGGCAAACTGGATGTTGTTATTGGCGAGATGTCAAGACTAAAGATAGACATTCTGGGGGTCAGCGAACTGAAATGGACTGGAATGGGCCACTTCACATCAGATGACCACCAGATCTACTAGTGCGGACAAGAGGAACATCGAAGAAATGGAGTAGCCTTCATAATTAATAAGAAATTCGCTAAAGCGGTGCTTGGATACAACCCAAAAAATGACAGAATGATCTCAATTCGAGTGCAAGGAAAGCCTTTCAACATTACAGTGATCCAAATATACGCCCCAACCACAGCTGCTGAAGAAGCAGAAGTAGATCAGTTCTATGAGGATCTGCAGGAACTACTGGATAATACACCAAAAGAGACATTATTTTCATTACAGGAGACTGGAATGCCAAGGTGGGAAGTCAAATGACAACTGGGATCACAGGCAAGCATGGTCTGGGAGAACAAAATGAAGCGGGACGCAGGCTGATAGAATTTTGCCAGGAAAACTCGCTGTGTATAACGAATACTCTCTTCCAACAACCTAAAAGACGGCTTTATACATGGACCTCACCAGATGGTCAACACCGAAATCAGATTGACTACATCCTTTGCAGCAAAGGTGGCAGACATCCATCCAGTCGGTGAAAACAAGACCTGGGGCTGACTGTAGCTCAGATCACGAACTTCTTATTGCCAATTTAGAATAAAACTAAAGAGATCAGGGAAAATACACAGACCAGTTAGATATGACCTCACTAACATTCCTAGCGAATATACAGTGGAAGTGAAGAACAGATTTGAAGGACTAGATTTAGTAAACAGAGCCCCAGAAGAACTATGGACAGAAGTCCGAGACATTGTTCAGGAGGCGGCAACAAAGTACGTCCCAAAGAAAAAGAAAACCAAGAAGGCAAAATGGTTGTCTGCTGAGACACTGGAAGTAGCCCAAGAAAGGAGGAAAGCAAAAGGAAACAGGGATAAGGGGAGATATGCCCAGTTAAAGGCGCAATTCCAGAGGTTAGCCAGAAGAGATAAGGAACTATTTTTAAATAAGCAATGCATGGAAGTGGAAGAAGACAACAGAATAGGAAGGACAAGAGACCTCTTCCAGAAAATTAGAAACATTGGAGGTAAATTTCAGGCAAAAATTGGCATGATAAGAAACAAAGATGGCAGTGACCTAACAGAAGCTGAAGAGATCAAGAGAAGGTGGCGAGACTATACAGAAGATCTGTATAGGAAGGATAATAATATTGAGGATAGTTTTGACGGTGTGGTGAATGAATTAGAACCAGACATCCTGAGGAGTGAGGTTGAATGGGCCTTAAGACGCATTGCTAACAACAAGGCAGCAGGAGACGACGGGATCCCAGCTGAACTGTTTAAAATCTTAAAAGATGATGCGGTCAAGGTGATGCATGCCATTTGCCAGCAAATATGGAAAACACAAGAATGGCCATCAGACTGGAAAAAATCAACTTATATCCCCATACCAAAAAAGGGAAATGCGAAAGACTGCTCCAACTTCCGTACAGTGGCCCTTATTTCTCATGCCAGTAAAGTAATGCTCAAGATCCTTCAAGGAAGAATCCAGCAATACATGGAGCGAGAGTTGCCAGATGTTCAAGCTGGGTTTAGAAAAGGCAGAGGAACGAGAGACCAGATTGCCAATATCCGCTGGATAATGGAGAAAGGCAAGGAGTTTCAGAAAAACATCTACTTCTGCTTCATTGACTATTCTAAAGCCTTTGACTGTGTGGATCATAATAAATTGTGGCAAGTTCTTAGTGGGATGGGCATCCCAAGCCACCTTGTCTCTCTCCTGAGGAATCTGTACAAGGACCAAGGAGCAACAGTCAGAACTGACCACGGAACAACAGACTGGTTCAAGATTGGGAAAGGCGTACGGCAAGGCTGCATCCTCTCACCCAACCTTTTTAACTTGTATGCAGAACACATCATGCGATGTGCGGGGCTGGATGAATGCAAGCTGGGGTGTAAATTGCTGGAAGAAACATTAACAACCTCAGATATGCAGATGACACCACTCTGATGGCCGAAAGCGAGGAGGAGCTGAGGAGCCTTCTAATCAAGGTGAAAGAAGAAAGCGCAAAAGCCGGGTTGCAGCTAAACGTCAAAAAAACCAAGATTATGGCAACAAGAATGATTGACAACTGGAGAATAGAAGGAGAAACCGTGGAGGCCGTGACAGACTTTGTATTTCTAGGTGCAAAGATTACTGCAGATGCAGACTGTAGCCAGGAAATCAGAAGACGCTTACTTCTTGGGAGGAGAGCAATGTCCAGTCTCGATAAAATAGTGAAGAGTAGAGACATCAGACTGGCAACAAAGATCCGCCTAGTCAAAGCCATGGTATTCCCTGTAGTCACCTACGGATGTGAGAGCTGGACCTTAGGGAAGGCTGAGCGAAGGAAGATCGATGCTTTTGAGCTGTGGTGTTGGAGGAAAGTGCTGAGAGTGCCTTGGACTGCGAGAAGATCCAACCAGTCCATCCTCCAGGAAATAAAGCCCGACTGCTCATTGGAGGGAAAGATACTAGAGACAAAGTTGAAGTACTTTGGCCACATCATGAGGATACAGGAAAGCCTAGAGAAGACAATTATGCTGGGGAAAGTGGAAGGCAAAAGGAAGAGGGGCCGACCAAGGGCAAGATGGATGGATGGCATCCTTGAAGTGACTGGACTGACCTTGAGGGAGCTGGGGGTGGTAACAGCCGACAGGGAGCTCTGGCGTGGGCTGGTCCATGAGGTCACGAAGAGAATGTCACACTATTCCCCTTTATATACAAAATCCTGTTCTAATATTACAAAAATGGAGAAAATTTATCTCCAACTTTCTCTACATCAGTGTTTCTCAACCTGGGGGTCGGGACCCCTGAGGGGGTTGCAAAGGGGTTTCAGAGAAGTCACCAAAGACCATCAGAAAAAATATTTTTGATGGTCTTAGGAACCTCTTTGGTAGAGATCCCTTCACCTGTCCTTCTCTTCCATTTTGGAAACAGACGGCAAATCCTCCCACCAAAAGCCATACTCCTGCTCTATGGATGTAGGTGAACTACAACTCCAAAACTCAACGTCAATGCCCACCAAACCCTTCCAGTATTTTCTGTTGGTCGTGGGGTTTCTGTGTGGGAAGTTTGGCCCAATTCTGTTGTTGGTGGGGTTCAGAATGCTCTTTGATGGTAGGTGAACTATAAATCTCAGCAACTACAGCTCCCAAATGACAAAATTAGCCTCCCCCCCACACCCCACCAGTATTCAAATTGGGGCTTTTTGAGTTTTTGTGCCAAATTGATTCCAGTGAATGAAAATCCTGCATATGATATTTCCATTACGATTCATAACAGTAGCAAAACCACAACATGAGGAACTGTATTAAGGAGTCGCAGCATTAGGAAGGTTGAGAACCAGTGCTCTACATCATAAATAATGCTAAATACCATTATTTCCAAACATAGTAAGGCTTTCTAATTGGGGCATTATTCCACCTCCCTGAAACCACGTGGGTTTCCCTTTTCTGTACTTCTGCCATGTAGTTATTTCAGATGTGGTGCATGTGATCTCCATCAGATGAGCAAATCCGACATCACATGGAAGTAAGCTTGCTTTTTAAAACCCCTGTTCATTTTGGAATTGATTCTTGCTGTCTCCTGCCTGTAGGAAAACACAGCACTACAAGGAAACTCTCTTTTATACTGAATAGGGCACTGATTTGAACAGGAAAATCATTCCACGTTCAATCATGCTTATTCTGTTTCAATATAGTGCCAAAAAGTGGGATTTTGAGTTGCAAGCTGACTACCTTGACTCAGCTGCACTGCTTTGGAAATAGGTAAAAACTAGGTTTGTAGGGCCCTTAAAGGCATCCCATTGATCTGGGTTGTTGTAGGTTTTTCCGGGCTATATGGCCATGTTCTAGAGGCATTTTCTCCTGATGTTTCGCCTGCATCTGTGGCAAGCATCCTCAGGCGAAACCTCAGGAGAAAATGCCTCTAGAACATGGTCATATAGCCCGGAAAAGCCTACTACAACCCAGTGAATCCGGCCATGAAAGCCTTTGACAATACATCCCATTGATCATTTGTCTTTAATTGATTTTGGTAGCATAGCGGGCTAAACCACTGAGCTGCTGAACTTGCTGACCAAAAGGTTGGTGGTTCAAATCTGGGGAATGGGGTGAGCTCTCTCTGTTAGGCCCAGCTTCTGCAAACCTAGCTGTTCGTAAACAAGCAAAGGAAACAGCACTCCATGCAGTCATGCCAACCACATGACCTTGGAGGTGTCTACGGACAACACCAGCTTTTCGGTTTAGAAATGGAGATAAGCACCACCCCCCAGAGTTGGACACAATTAGACTTAATGTCCAGGAAAAAACTTTACATTACCTTTTTATCACCAAACCATGAACACAAATGGCTTTTTCAAATATTCAAAGAAGTTTAAAAGGGTTTGCTCCCCTTTTAAAGCCCTTTTCCCCACACAAAAGTGCTAGAGTCAGCCCGCCACATTCATTGGGGTTAGGTGCACAGGACCCCCATGAAAGTGAAAAAAAGCCAAAGAAATAGTCCCCAGACCTTCCAGCATGACTCTATGGTCAAATTCTGATGCAAGTGGACGAGAGAATTCCTAGAGAGGTGTTCTCTTTATTAATGTCTAGGTCCTCCAGCATTACTGAAAAAAGTCATACTGGAGAGCCTAGAGCAGTGTTTTCCAAGCTGGGGGTCAGGACCCCTCGGGGGGGGGGTCACGAGGGGATGTCAAAGGGGTCGTCAAAGATAATCAGAAAACACAGTATTTTCTGTTGGTTATTGGTGGAGTTCAGAATGCTCTTTGATTGTAGGTGAACTATAAATCCCAGCAACTAGTAATCCCAAATGTCAAGGTCTATTTCTCCCAAAGTTCATCTGTGTTTATATTTGGGCACATGGAGTATACGTGCCAAGTTTGGTCCAGATCCATCATTGTTTGAGTCCACAGTGCTCTCTAGATGTAGGTGAACTACAACTCCAAAACTCAAGGTCAATGCCCACCAAACTCTTCTAGTGTTTTCTGTTGGTCAGGGGAGTCCTGTGTACCAATTTCGGTTCAATTCCATCATTGGTGGAGTTCAGAATGCTCTTTGATTATAGGTGAACTATAAATCCTAGCAACTACAACTCCCAAATGACAAAATCATAATTTTTTGAGTGATGGTCACTCCTTGTGTTGTGAGACATTTTGTTGCCAAATTTGGTGTGATTTCGTTCATTGGTTCTTTTGTTTTTGAACTCATTATGCACAGAGCATTTTTATAGATAGATAGATAGATAGATAGATAGATAGATAGATAGATAGATAGATAGATAGATAGATAGATGGTATGAATTGGGCTGGCTAGCCCTTGACCAGTAACAGAAAAACAAGTGGACACTTACCAGTAAACTTTGTTGTCGATGATCATTGCAAGAACGGCAGCTGCACTAATGGCATAAGCAAAACAGTCTCTAAACAGTGGCCAGCAAGAGAGTCTTGAAACCTATCAAATAGAGTCAATGGTAAACGAATGTAACTTTTCCAAGCAGTTTCAAAGCTTTCTCTCAAGCATGATGCCTTTGTTGATAATATCTTATGAATTCGGGCTGCTATTTCATCTTGAAATGCTCCATAAATTTTAATCTCCTGATGAAACATTCCCATTCAGTGAAATCCAAGCATTTTTATTCATTATATACACATAAAATCATGTTTATACATAATGTGAAGCGACTTTGGGATGTGGTTCTTCATTCATTGCAGTTATCCAGTTTCTAAAAGCATAAAACTAGATGATTTGCATGTTTTTTTTTCTATCTTTGGGCTGATTACATGCTGCTTTGTGACCATATTAAGTCCAATTGCCTGCCAATTAAATTGGGTTTGGCAGCACACCATGTGAAAATAATAATAATAATAAATAATAAATTCACGCCTATCTCCAGCAGACAAGAGTCCTTTGTCCCACCCTGGTCTTTCCACAGATATATAAACCCAGAAATAATAATAATAATAATAATAATAATAATAATAATAATAATAAAAAATAAATTCACACCTAGCTCCAGCAGACAAGAGTCCTTTGTCCCACCCTGGTCTTTCCACAGATATATAAACACAAAATAATAATAATAATAATAATAATAATAATAATAAATTCACACCTAGCACCAGCAGACAAGAGTCCTTTGTCCCACCCTGGTCTTTCCACAGATATATAAACCCAGAAATAATAATAATAATAATAATAATAATAATAAATAAATAAATAAATAAATAAATTCACACCTAGTTCCAGCAGACAAGAGTTCTTTGTCCCACCCTGTTCTTTCCACAGATATATAAACCCAATTTATAATAATAATAATAATAATAATAATAATAAATTCACACCTAGCTCCAGCAGACAAGAGTCCTTTGTCCCACCCTGGTCTTTCCACAGATATATAAACCCAGAAATAATAATAATAATAATAATAATAATAATAATAATAATAATTTCACACCTAGCTCCAGCAGACAAGAGTCCTTTGTCCCACCCTGGTCTTTCCACGGATATATAAACCCAGAAAGAATAATAATAATAATAATAATAATAATAATAATAATAATAATAATATTCACACCTAGCTCCAACAGACAAGAGTCCTTTGTCCCACCCTGGTCTTTCCACAGATATATAAACCCCATTTATATTCTATTCTATTTATAATAAAAATATATATATATAATTCACACCTAGCTCCAGCAGACAAGAGTCCTTTGTCCCACCCTGGTCTTTCCACGGATATATAAACCCAGAAAGAATAATAATAATAATAATAATAATAATAATAATAATAATAATAATATTCACACCTAGCTCCAACAGACAAGAGTCCTTTGTCCCACCCTGGTCTTTCCACAGATATATAAACCCATAAATAATAATAATAATAATAATAAAAATAATAAATAAATTCACACCTAGCTCCAGCAGACAAGAGTTCTTTGCCCCACCCTGGTCTTTCCACAGATATATAAACCCAGAAATAATAATAATAATAATAATAATAATAATAATAAATTCACACCTAGCACCAGCAGACAAGAGTCCTTTGTCCCACCCTGGTCTTTCCACAGATATATAAACCCTAAATGCATCTATGAGAGAGAATGCAGAATATCAACAATAATAAATAATAATACAATAATAATACAACCTAGCTCCAACATACAAGAGTTCTTTGTCCCACCCTGTCATTCCACAGATATATAAACCCATTTTCCTAGTTCCAACAGACCTCACTACCTCTGAGGATGCTTGCCATAGATGCAGGCGAAACGTCAGGAGAGAATGCCTCTAGAACATGGCCATATAACCCGAAAAAACCTACAACAACCCAGTGATTCTGGCCATGAAAGCCTTCGACAATACAATAAATAATAAACTTTATTTATACCCCGCCACCATCTCCCCAATTGGGACTCTGAGCGGCTTACATGAGGCCAAGCCCAAACAACAAAATACAACCGAAAACGCGAACAAAGCACAACATCATAATGACACCATCAATTAAAACAATTCAAAGGAATCAATGAAGTTAGTACATGCCATGCCAGATAATAGTCCACATGCCGCAGAGATCCCGAGAAGATTGTAGATCGCAGAACCAAGGATGGTGCTGACTCCAATGTCTCCCTTTGTGACGAAAACTCCTGAAAGCAAGCAAAGCATCCCTCGGCAAAATTAATTTTGACTTTCACATGAAGGTAAGAAGAAGAAGAAAAAGGATCTGTGTGCTTTGAAAACCATGGCTGAACTTACCTAGGAAGGCTGTGACTAGTTCAGGGGCGGAACTACCCGCTGCCATGAAAGTTGCTCCTGCAACATCGTGAGAGAGACCCAGCGCTAAGGTAAGGAACAACAACAATCTTGATTGAAAGTTAAGAGCTGTGCCAAAGTCTCAGTATAATAACACTGTATTAATTTTTAGGTAAAGGTAAAGGTTTCCCCTTGACATTGAGTCTAGTCGGGTCTGACTCTGGAGGGTGGTGCTCGCCTCCATTTCCAAGCCAAAGAACCAGCGTTGTCCATAGACACCTCCTAGGTCATGTGGGCGATACAAGCTATATTTCAACACAGAATTAAAACACTGTTAAAGTTAATGGGGCCACAGTGGCACAGTGGGTTAAACTGCTGAGCCGCTGAACTTGTTGACCGGGAAGGTCAGGGTGAGCTCCCATTGTTAGCCCTAGCTTCTGCCAACCTAGAAGCTTGAAAGCATACAAATGTGAGCAGATAAAAAGGTACCGCGTGAACTTCCGCTGTCAGCCCTAGCTTCTGCCAACCTAGCAGTTCGAAAACATGCAAATGTGAGTAGATTAATAGGTACCGCTCCGGCGGGAAGGTAACGGCACTCCATGCAGTCATGCCAGCCACATGACCTTGGAGGTGTCTACAGACAACGCTGGCTCTTCGGCTTAGAAATGGAGATGAGCACCACACCCCAGAGTCAGACATGACTGGACTTAATGTCAGGGGACTACCTTTGCCTTTACCTTAAATAGGTACCACGCAGGCAGGAAGGTAACACAGTTCTCCCATGATCAACAGAAAATACTGGAAGGGTTTGGTGGGCAGTGTCCTTTGGTTTTGGAGTTGTAGTTCACCTACATCCCGAGACCACTGTGGACGCAAACAATGATGGATCTGGACCAAACTGTTCACGAATACTCAATATGCCCAAATGTGAACACTGATAGTGTTTGGGGAAAACAGAATCTTGACATTCGGGAGTTGTATTTGCTGGGATTTATAGTTCACCTACTACTAAAGAGCATTCTGAACCCCACCAATGATAGAATTGAACCAAACTTGGCACACAGTTCTCCCATGACCAAGAGAAAATATTGGAAGGGTTTGGTGGGCATGGTCCTTGAGTTTTGGAGTTGTAGTTCACCTACATCCAGAGACCACTGTGGACGCAAACAATGATGGATCTGGACCAAACTGTTCACGAATACTCAATATGCCCAAATGTGAACACTGATAGTGTTTGGGGAAAACAGAATCTTGACATTCGGGAGTTGTATTTGCTGGGATTTATAGTTCACCTGCTACTAAAGAGCATTCTGAACCCCACCAATGATAGAATTGAACCAAACTTGGCACACAGTTCTCCCATAACCAACAGAAAATACTGAGAGGTTTTGGTGAGCAGTGTCCTTTGGTTTTGGAGTTGTAGTTCACCTACATCCAGAGATCACTGTGGACTCAAACAATGATGGATCTGGACCAAACTCTACACAATACTCAATATGCCCAAATGTGAACACTGGTAGAGTTTGGGGGAAATAGAATCTTGACATTTGGGAGTTGTAGTTGCTGGGATTTATAGTTCACCTACAATCCCAGAGCATTCTGAATCCCAACAATAGAATTGGGACAAACCTCCCACACAGAACTCCCATGTGTGCCACAGCAACGTGTGGCAGGGGACGGCTAGTGTATAAACATGTGAGAGGAAGTCATAGGGAGGAGGGAGGAGGCTTGTTTTCTGCTGTGCTGGAGACTACAGAATCATAGAATCAAAGAGTTGGAAGAGACCTCGTGGACTTTCCAGTCCAACCCCATTCTGCCAAGAAGCAGGAATATTGCATTCAAATCACCCCTGACAGATGGCCATCCAGCCTCTGTTTAAAAGCTTCCAAAGAAGGAGCCTCCACCACACTCCGGGGCAGAGAGTTCCACTGCTGAACGGCTCTCACAGTCAGGAAGTTCTTCCTCATGTTCAGTTGGAATCTCCTCTCTTGTAGTTTGAAGCCATTGTTTCGCGTCCTAGTCTCCAAGGAAGCAGAAAACAAGCTTGCTCCCTCCTCCCTGTGGCTTCCTTTCACATATTTATACATGGCTATCATATCTCCTCTCAGCCTTCTCTTCTTCAGGCTAAACATGCCCAGCTCCTTAAGCCGCTCCTCATAGGGCTTGTTCTCCAGACCCTTGATCACTAGGACGCAGAACAAAGGCTTCAAACTACATGAAAGGAGATTCTACCTGAACCTTAGGAAGAACTTCCTGACTATGAGAGCCGTTCAGCAGTGGAACTCTCTGCCCAGGAGTATAGTGGAGGCTCTTTCTTTGGAGGCTTTTAAACAGAGGCTGGTTAGCCATTTGACAGGGGTGCTTTGAATGCAATTTTCCTGCTTCTTTGCAAAATGGGGTTGGACTGGATGGCCCAGGAGGTCTCTTCCAACTCTATAATTCTATGAAAGAAGGGAAAAGCTTGCACCTGAGACCTTTGTTCAGCTGCTGGCACTCAGGGATAATGAGACTGTGTGGGATGAGACAAAGAGTCTCATCTGAAGCAGCTTGCTGTGCTCCTAAATTTCCTGTATGATTCCTCCTCCTACTTTCCATTCCACAACTTTCTCCAAGAAATTGAACAATGAAAGGAAGACGGAGCAAAATATGTCAAAGTTGCGATAACACATTGTCAACCACCAGCTATCATTGTAAGTACGGCTGCAGCTGTTTTCAAACTGTATAACCCAGAATAAGGCGACAAATGCTCCCTGGCATAAAACAAATGTTATTGATTTAGTTCTTGGATAATATAGCCCTAAAAATAATATTTTACACACTGTCCTGCCTGTCATTGCTAGTTTTCTTAATAGTTTTCCAGATCACAGTAGCCAGTCGGGGTTTTAACCCTTCTTCCACTTCATTGTGAGAATTATCAGTCAACATGGTTGTTCCTCCATGGCTGTTTCCAAGAGAACCCCCAGCAGGGAAACCTCAGACTACTTCTATTGCTTGGATGGGAAAGACAAGAACTCCCAAAAGAATAGCTGTGTTCTTTATGCCTTTAGTGCAATGTTTCTCAACCTTAGAATCATAGAGTTGGAAGAGACCTCATGGGCCTTCCAATCCAACCCCCTACCAAGAAACAGGAATATTGCATTCAAATCACTCCCAACAGATAGCCATCCAGCCTCTGTTTAAAAGCTTCCAAAGAAGGAGCCTCCACCACACTCCGGGGCAGAGAGTTCCACTGCTGAACGCCTCTCACTGTCAGGAAGTTCTTCCTCATGTTCAGATGGAATCTCCTCTCGTAGTTTGAAGCCATTGTTCCTTGCGTCCTAGTCTCCAGGGAAGCAGAAAACAAGCTTGCTCCCTCCTCCCTGTGGATTCCTCTCACATATTTATACATGGCTATCATATCTCCTCTCAGCCTTCTCTTCTTCAGGCTAAACATGCCCAGCTCCTTAAGCCACTCCTCATAGGGCTTGTTCTCCAGACCCTTGATCATTTTAGTCACCCCTCCTCTGGACACATTCCAGCTTGTCAATATCTCTCTTGAATTGTGGTGCCCAGAATTGGACACAATATTCCAGGTGTGGTCTAACCAAAGCGGAATAGAGGGGTAGCATTACTTCCCTAGATCTAGACACTGTGCTCCTATTGATGCAGGCCAAAATCCCATTGGCTTTTTTTGCCGCCACATCACATTGTTGGCTCATGTTTAACTTGTTGTCCACGAGGACTCCAAGATCTTTTTCACACGTACTGCTCTCGAGCCAGGTTATGACCCCATTCTGTATCTTTGCATTTCGTTTTTTCTGCCAAAGTGGAGTATCTTGCATTTGTCACTGTTGAACTTCATTTTGTTAGTTTTGGCCCATCTCTCTAATCTGTCAAGATCGTTTTGAATCCTGCTCCTGTCCTCTGGAGTATTGGTGTTCTGTCACGTGCTGGGCCTGTAACAATTGACTTTGAATAGGACGTGCACTTTGTGCCCAGCGGGAAGCCAGGGCGCCTCGAAGAGAGGCCCTCAAGGGTTTTCCTGTAAAAATTGTCTTAGAGTCTTTAATGATTTAACAAAGTCCTTTATTATTGAACAAATTAAACAGATACTTCTCAAATCTTCAATTATTCAAACAAATGCTTCAAGGCTTTCAGTCAATTGGTGGCTTCCTTACTCTTGTCCTCAAGGAACAGGCAACTGTCTTCGTTGTTTGTTTTTCACTTTAAGAGGAAAACCCTTTTTTAACCTCTCCCAGGCTGTCTACTATCTAAGCCTTACTGATGTGGGTTCTACTACCGGATTCAAACTGTGTCTTGAGCACCGAGTAGACCTACCAGTAAAGGCTTGCAGATTCTCCAGCTGGAGTTCTTTGGGTCTGTAAAGCTGCTTTCCCCCGGAATTTCTTAAGAAACCTTTTAGGGCTGTTGGTCATGGGAGTCCTATATGCCACGTTTGGTTCAATTCCTTAATTGGTGGTGTTCAGAATGCTCTTCTGCATTCAGAATGCTATAGTAGGTGAACTATAAATCCCAGCAACTACAACTCCCAAATGACAAAATCAAATGGGGTTGTTAGGTGTATGCTGTCCAAATTTGGTGTCAATTCGTCTAGTGGTTTTTGAGTTATGTTAATCCCACAAACGAACATTACATTTTTATTTATATAGATTATAATATTATAAATATTATAATTAAAATATTATAAACTACAAGGAAGGAGATTCCATGTGGACATTAGGAAGAACTTCCTGACTGTGAGAGCTGTTCAGCAGTGGAACTCTCTGCCCCGGTGTGTGGTGGAGGCTTCTTCTTTAGAGGCTTTTAAACAGAGGCTGGATGGCCATCTGTTGGGGGTGCTTTGAATGCAATTTTCCTGCTTCTTGGTGGAATGGGGTTGGACTGGATGACCCATGAGGTCTCTTCCAACTCTGATTCTATGATGCTAAACACTTTTTGTAAGAGATTTCTAAACTGCCTTTGCATTGTGCATGGAATAATGATCTTGAAGGCTTGTTGAGTGTTGTAGGTGAGACGGCTGACCTTTTCAGAAAGCGCCACCAGATACACACAAAAAGGGAGAAGAAGAAAAAACTTACACTCGCTGATAATCTCCAGGGAAGGGAGGAAGTAATCATCACACACAATGGACACAGCCAGAAACATATAAAGAATGATTATGAAATAGATAATGATGCCTCCATCTTCTCGCTCCTGCTGCGTAAAAAATCCCTCTGGGAATTCTGATGACGGGGAGAGGATACACTGGCTTTTGTTTTCTGAAAAGCAAGCGTTAGGAGGTTTTGAGTTGACATCGAGATCATTTCTGTTGTGCTTGAACATCTTCTATAAAACGCCAGACAAAGTCAATGCTTTAAAGAACGCAAAGCTAGTTGTTTTTTTTGGCGAAAACCAGAATCGGATTGGTTTTTGAATACAATGCTTTCCAGAAACGAAACGGATAGCCCGATGAGAATATTTTATTATTATTCTCAATTGTGAAAATGGTAATGTTTCCCATGCATAGATCTGTATCCTATTTGAATCCCAACTAGATCTGTTGAAAGCAACAGGGTTTGTTTAAGTAGTGATGACAACATAGTCTCGCTTATCCGACCTTCGCTTATCCGACATTCCTTATCCGACATTTCAAGGCGGAAACCATGAAACTGAACAAAATCTGGCTACCAGTATTTTTTTAAACTTTAAAATCAGGACAGTAAATAAAGAGCAACACTTACAAAACATGGTAATTCCAGGGAAGAATCAATCAGGGGCAGCTAACACCTCCCAACAAAGTATTCTAGGCAGTGACCTGCCAGGCTTTGAAGCTGCAAGGTCATTAAATGCTAATCAAGGTGGCCAATTGCAACATTCACGTTGCTTAAATCAGGACAGTAAATAAAGGAGCAACACTTACAAAACATGGGAATTTCAGGGAAGAATCAATCAGGGGCAGCTAACACCTCCCAATAAAGGATTCCAGGTAACAACCTGCCAGGCTTTGAAGCTGCAAGGCCATTAAAGGCTAATCAATGTGGCTAATTGCAACATTCACACTTCCTTCAAGCAGAAAAGTGTTCTTTCTTTCATCCTGGACATTCCACAAATATACGAGGGTTGAATGAAAAGTAATGCCTCCATCTTCGTTCCTACGAGTATGCTAGCCATAGATGCAGGCAAAACATCAGAAAAAATGCTGCTAGAACACAGCCATACAGCTCAGAAACCACACAACACTCCAGTGATTACGGCCATGAAAGCCTCCGACAATACATTGACTTTATGATTCTTAAAAGGAATTTTGGAAAGCAATGTTTTATGAATGAATGTAATACGACCTCAACTTAATTGCTTGGGATATACGGTTTAGCAAGGCACCAACACTTTTTGGTCAAGAAGGCGAACTCCCAGGATTCCACGGCACCAAGCCATGGCACTTAAAGTGGCATTGAGCTGCATTCATTCTACAGTGGAGATATACCCAATGGGGAAAAGATTTAAGAGTAGGATTTGGAAGTGCCAAAATGGGTAACTGTATGTTCTCCAGCTGTCCTTATTTGGCATTTTTTCTTTGCCAGCTTTAAAATGTCCCAGTTTCTCTCTGCCCCCTTTGACCTCAATTCATTTCAGTGGGTGCAAAGTGTGTCCACAATGCAAAAGTTGTTGGAACTCAGTGAAGGACCCAGAGAAGAGGTGGGAGGGTGCATCGATCTACGCCAGTCATGGGCAAACTTTGACCCTCCAGGTGTTTGTGCCTCCAACTCCCACAATTCCTAAGAGCCTATCTGCTGTTAGGAATTTTGGGAGTTGGAGGCACAAATACCTGGAGGGCCAAAGTTTGCCTATGCCTGATCTATACCATAGAATTAATGCAGTTTGACATCAGTTTTAACAGCCATGGCTCAGTGCTATGCAATCCTGGAAAGTTGTAGTTTGATGAACCATTAGCACTACTTGGAAGGCAAGCTAGCTGCAGAAGGAAACTACAAAGCAGTTGCTGAGGCAGAGCAAGGCAGTGGCATTCATTCCCCAAAGCAACAGCAAATGTATGAAGAGCTTCATGCTCCATCTTCCATGCATTTTGCTTGACCTAGTTATTTTTTGAAAGAAAAGGGAAAGTCTGTTCAAGAGCTTTTAGAGCAGGTTTTCTCAACCTTCCTAATGCCTTGACCCCTTAATACAGTTCCTCATGTTGTGGTGACCCCCAACCATCAAATTATTTTCATTGCTACTTCACAACTCTCATTTTGCTACTGTTACGAATCGTCATGTAAATAAATATCTGATCTGCAGGATGTATTTCCATTCACTGGACCAAATTTGGCACAAATACAAAACATCAGGAGAAAATGCTGCTAGAACATGGCCATACAGTCCAGAAACCACATAACACTCCAATCATAGAGTCAGAAGAGACCCCAAGGGCCATTCAGGCCAACCCCATTCAGACAAGCAGGGGGAGCAAGATCCAAGCACCCCTGACAGATGGCCATCCACCCTCTGCTTCAAAACCTGATGGAGAAATCCCAGCTTTTACCAACCTCGGATCCATCAACAAGTTATCTTGACACCACTTGAACAGACTTGGCTGAAGGCTACGAGCTCCTGGAAGTTTGGTGAGATACCAGAACTCTTTGGCAGACCTTGTAAAAGTGCAAATTTCCATAGCCTAAAGCCCTGGCACTTCAAGTGGTGGCAAGTGCATTGATTCCACAGTGTCATCACATAGAAGAAAGTTCTTCCTTAGGCTCTTCTTACCTGGAGCCGGTTGGGCAGAGGCGGCCCAGGTGGGGTGGTCTCGTGTGTGGTCCCCAGTGCCCAGAAGCAGCAGAAGCAGCAGCGGCAACAAGGAGAGCACTTGAGCCCCAGGACTCCTTCTCCGCCTCGTCTTCTTTGCCAGCTGGCTGAACATCGTGCGCGCCTCCTGCACTGGCTGAGAAGGAGGAGGGAGACAGGATTAGGGGCCCAGTGGGCAGTCATGTGAGGGGCAGGGAGGAGGAAGCATGGGTGAATGGAGGAAAGGGAGGGAAGCAAGGCAAGGCAAGGCAAGGCAGGAGGTTGCCCCAACCATGAACCAAGCAGAAAGGAACCTGGGCTGCATCTGGAGATGAATGCAGTTTGACCCCACACTTCAGCTGCCATGGCTTAATGCCATGCAATCCTGGGAGATGCAATATCACGAGGCCTTTAGATAGAATGGGGTCAAACTTCCCACACACAGACCCCCATGACCAACGGAAAATACTGAGCTCCCTCTGTCATCTCCAGCTGCTCATGTGGGGACATGAGAGAAACCTCCCACAAGGATGATAAAACATCAAAACATTCGGGCGTCCCCTGGGCAACGTCCTTGCAGAAGCGATGAGTCCAAGATCACATCCAAGCTGCAAACCTGCGTCTTCAGGGGGAGTGTGACTCCATCCAACACAGGCTGTAACCCTATGTATGCCCTGTTCGGCCTTATGAATGACCAGGAGTACCTTTGTCTTGTCTGGATTCAATTTCAATTTGTTCGCCCTCATCCAGACTGTCCCAGCGGCCAAGCACCGGTTCAGGACCTGAACTTGTAATTCATTTTTTTTGTTTTTTGGCTTTTTAAATCTCTTCTGATGTGCTTTTCAGCGTTTTTATGAGTGATAGTCACTTATTGGCCTGATAGGTGTTGTGTGTCCAAATTTGGTGTCAATTCGTCCAGTGGTTTTTGAGTTATGTTAATCCCACAAACAAACATTGCATTTTTATTTATATTACTAGCTGTCCCCTGCCACGCATTGCTGTGGCCCACATGGGGGTTCTGTGTGGGAGGTTTGGCCCAATTCTATCGTTGGTGGGGTTCAGATTGCTCTGTGATTGTAGGTGAACTATAAATCCCAGCAACTACAACTCCCAAATGTCAAGATTCTATTTTCCCCAAACTCCACCAGTGTTCACATTTGGGCATATTGAGTATTCCTGTAGAGTTTGGTCCAGATCCATCATTGTTTAAGTCCATAGTAATCTCTGGATGTAGGTGAACTACAAATCCAAAACCAAAGGACACTGCCCACCAAACCCTTCCAGTATTTTCTGTTGGTCATGGGAGAACTGTGTGCCAAGTTTGGTTCAATTCCATCTTGGTGGGGTTCAGAATGCTCTTTGATTGTAGGTGAACTATAAATCCCAGCAACTACAACCCCAAATGACAAAATCAATTTTTTTAGTGAAGAACATACATTGGGTTGTTAGGTGTCTTGTGTCCAAATTTGGTGTCAATTTATCCAGTGGTTTTTGAGTTCTGTTAATCCCACAAACGAACATTACATTTTTATTTATATAGATTTAGTTTTTTTTGTAGTGTCAGGAGTGACTTGAGAAACTGCAAGTCGCTTCTGGTGTGAGAGAATTGGCCGTCTGCAAGGACGTTGCCCAGGAGACGCCCGGATGATTTGATGTTTTTATCATCCTTGTGGGAGGCTTCTCTCATGTCCCCCATGAGGAGCTGGAGCTGGTAGAGGGAGCTCATCCGCCTCTCCCCGGATTCGAACCCCTGTCGGTCTTCAGTCCTGCCGGCACAGGGCTTTAACCCACTGCGCCACCGGGGGCTCCTTAGAGGTAGGTATATTACATGTAATATAAAATATATAATTTATTATTAGTAGTATTATATTGTATTACATTATAATATTATAAATATTATATGTATATGCAATATATTACATTATTAGAACTCGTGTTTACTGTCAAAGCAGAAGTTTCAAAAGTAAATAGACAAAGAAAGACATTACAAAGGTAACTTAGGGGTGCCTCAAGTGCCGCAGAGAGCTTGCTCCATCCGTGAGAGGTTTGCTAATGGGAGGAAGAGGGAGCCTTCCTTTAACTTCATTAGCGTGGCAGGATTCCCACCCGCCTCTTAAGCGTTGCTTTTTTGGGGGGAAAGAGATTTCCCCCGCTGTTTGGAGGGAAGGATTTGGCAGGAGTGGTACTGAACCAGACAGCACAAGCTGCAGGCTACTTTCTGGTTGGTTTGTTCCGATGCCCTCTTTAAACACTGAAGTATGCATGTAATTGAGGATTAAATGCTAATATACTCCACTGTTTCAGTACACAAGCTTGATCCGCCTTTGAAATAATGATTGGCGATCTAAAAGGAGTTGGGGGGGGGGGGGGAATGCGAATTTGTGGTTCCACCGAATCAGTTCTAGTGTTTGTTTTCATAAACATTTGCAGTTCAATTATGCACAATCATATGCTGGCAATGTAACGGGCGATTTATGAAGGGCTGGCCTATTACTTGTGCGTTGGGCATTATTTGTCACACAGAATGGCAAGGATTAAAAATCACCTGAACAAACGCACACATCATCGGGTGGCAATTCATTGTAGTTTACCTGCCTTTGATTTCCCCCGCTTTCTAACCCATAGTCAGAGACGTTGCCCAGGGGACTCCCGGATGTTTTGCCATCCTGTGGGAGGCTTCTCTAATGTCCCCGCATGGGAAGCTGGAGCTGACAGATGGGAGCTCACCCCATCTCACAGATTCAAACCACCAAAGCCCCCGGTGGCACAGTGGGTTAAACCCTTATTCCGGCAGGACTGAAGACCGACCGGTTGCAGGTTGGAATCTGGGGAGGGTGCAGATGAGCTCCCTCTATTAGCTCCAGCTCCCCAAGCGAGGACATGAGAGAAGCCTACCACAAGGATGATAATGCATCAAAACATCCGGGGATCCCCTGGGCAACGTTCTTGCAGATGGCCAATTCTCTCATGTCAGAAGTGACTTGCAATTTCTCAAGTCGCTCCTGACATTAAAAAATCCCTTCGGGTCAGCAGTTCAGCCGGCACAAGGGTCTCCCATTGTGTCACCACGGAATGCAGTTGTGGGATATGGCTTGATTAATGAATGGTGGAATGGATGCATCTGGGGATGAGGTTTTTTTGGGAGGAAATTCTTTGATCCCAGAAAAAAAATTTGCTGCATGTTCAACAAACATCCAAACTAGAACATGTGTGTGTGTGTGTTCCTTCGAGTCACCAGTTGACTGATGTTGATCAAGGGTCTGGAGAACAAGCCCTATGAGGAGCAGCTTAAGGAGCTGGGCATGTTTAGCCTGAAGAAGAGAAGGCTGAGAGGAGATATGATAGCCATGTATAAATATGTGAGAGGAAGCCACAGGGAGGAGGGAGCAAGCTTGTTTTCTGCTTCCCTGGAGACTAGGACGCGGAACAATGGCTTCAAACTACAAGAAAGGAGATTCCATCTGAACATGCGGAAGAACTTCCCGAGTGTGAGAGCTATTCAGCAGTGGAACTCTCTGCCCCGGAGTGTGGTGGAGGCTCCTTCTTTGAAAGTTTTTAAACAGAGGCTGGATGGCCATCTGTCAGGGGTGATTTGAATGCAATATTCCTGCTTCTTGGCAGAATGGGGTTGGACTGGATGGCCCATGAGGTCTCTTCCAACTCTTCGATTCTATGATTCTATGATTTATTTCATAGGGTTTTCTAAGGCAATGGATATTCAGAAATGATTGTGCCAGTTGCTTCCTCTGAAATATACCCTACACAATATCTATTGGTGGTCTCCCATCCATGTACTTAACCAGGCCTGATCCTGCTTAGCTTCCAAAACCAGTCAGTCTCTTGGTGCCTTTAGCATATTTAAGGCCTAAATATAGAACATAACCTTCTGTAGTGCATTTGGATTTTTTCAATTCAGCATTTCTTTTCCTCATGTGCAATCTGGTCTGCTGTCTGTCCCCCTATTCTATAGCATGTGGATAGCAACAGACCAGTTTGCTTGTTTATTTAACGTATATGCTGCTGTCCTCCCAATATGGTGCCAAAGGCGACCCACAATTTGAGAAAATGAGCAATAGGAATGATAACAAATAAACAATGATATTTAAAACATTACATTTTAAAAGTCTAAACGGGCATTTGAATTATAATAACAATGATTAAAATGCGGTACAAATATGAATACAACACACCTCAGTTAAATGACCTTCTGCAACTGACAGTTAATACTCAAAGTTCCAAGTAAATAGAAAATTCTTTGCTTCCCAGAAGGAAAAGAGCCAGAGGGAGGCACTTACCCTTCTGTTGGAGAGGCTTGAATAGTCTGGCTATAATTTTCTTGATTGAAATAATCCATCTCTCGGTTGTTATAGGTTTTTTCGGGCTATGTGGCCATGTTCTAGAGGCATTCTCTCCTGACGTTTTGCCTGCATCTATGGCAAGCATCCTCAGAGGTACTGAGGATGCTTGCCATAGATGCAGGCGAAACGTCAGGAGAGAATGCCTCTAGACCATGGCCATATAGCCTGAAAAAACCTACAACAACCCAGTGATTCCGGCCATGAAAGCCTTTGACAATCCATCTCTCGTCTATTTTCCCTTTTCCCCTAACTTTTCTCTACTCAAATAACTTGAGTTCCAACTAGGGATCATAATAAGCCTCAGATCACATTCTAAGAGGCAAGGTTGAGTAAACTGTTGTTGAAAGGATTCTGGGAGTTAAAGTTCAACCACATCCTGAGGACCACTTCTCCCAAGTCTTCAGGATTACCTGTCAGTCTATCAATCTGTCAGGTTTCTGGCCAAAGCACCTACTGCTATGACGTGTAGATGGAGAGACCCTTCCCAGATTGGCAGGCTTTTATACTTTGGTGGCACCTTGGACGGTCCTAATAAACATGGTGCTCAACCAGGTGCTTTGCTTTTACTTAAGGCTAAAGCGTAAATGTGCTGTTGCACGCTGGGCCTGTGCATAAGACTGTAGACAGGACATAAATTCTGTCTGCCCAATGGGACGCCGGGGCTGCCCTTGGATTTCCTTAAAACAGAGTCTTTAGATTGCTTAAAGGTTCAACAAAGTTCTTTATTATTGATGAAAACAAACAGGTACTTTAAGGCTTTCTTAACTGTCTACTGGCTCTTTCAATCTTGTCCACAGGGAACAGGCACTATCTTCTTAACTGTAACTAATGGGGAAATACTTAACTTCTAATCTGGGCAGTCTGTCTTTGCCTCTGTTGGCGTGGAGCCCCTGCACCCAGTACCAACTGCGTCTGGCTTCCGCGAGAGACCCTTACCAAGCAGAGCTTTGTAGACTTCCAGGGGGAAAGAACTC